TTTTGAGAGCTCAATTCCATTTAGCGTTTTCAAGTGTACCCTTCAATTTCTAAAATTCATTTCGAGATTTGAAATTTCCCCTAAGTTTTTAATTACATGGTAGGAGACAAAGAGCAACAAAAGATCATTTTGTAATGTAAAATGTTGCACATATGAGCTACTTAGGCTGTAGTCTGCTACACAGCCGTTACAGTCTGCTACACAGCCTCCCCACTAATGTTAGTGGGGAGGAGCGTTGCATGACGACACTAATAACGGCTGTGTAACAGACTACTTGGGCTGGACCAGCCCATAACAGGTTTCTTACAAAGTTTCAATACTTCTTAGGGAGTCAAAGACTCGGTCAGGTAGGGACGTTATTGCATTGGATGTGAGTTGTCTGTCAAAAATGAAATAATCAAAAAAGATCAGCATTGTTATGATAAAGAAGCCGCCCAAATCAACCAGTCATTAATAAGGGTTGCCGATACTTTTTGCATAAATTAAGTATCACTGATAGGTAAGCATAGAGCATGAAAAGTGATTTGACTTTTTATTCATTTGTGATTTCCCATCCCAAGACGATATTTGCGTGCTTTTTAGGTGAACGAAGATTTAATTCAAACGTAACTCGTGGGCAATACATGCAGTTTGGCGTGAACTAATTTTTATAACTCGGCTAAATTTTAAGCCGATTTTATTCTCGTCGAATTTCTTTAGACAAAGATTTTGGCTTAATAACTAATTCCCATAGCACGTAAATTGAGCTTTTCTTTGGGCAGGCAAATTGTTGGTTGTAAACTTTCTTTGTAGCATTTGGGTCTTTAGAAGTATTGCAAAAACCCAAACATTTGTTTAAGATTTCAAACAGAAAGAAAACAAGTGATCTTGTTAGCGTAAAAGTAAGTTGAGAGCAAACATTGTTCCCTTAAATATATTTTTCAGCCTTCCGTGAAACGTAAATTACTTATAATGATTTTCACGAGAACGTGAAGAAATTTCAGGAAATATTCCTAACGCGTGGAAATTCATAATATAACATTACTTGAAAGCATTTTGGAAATTTTGTATAGGAGACCCTCCCCAATCAACTACACAGAAAACCAAGGTTGCTACATGATCTAATGAAAGTTCTTGTAGTTACTGCATGTTTTCATATTTTTTCCTATAGTAAGAACATTTGGTCGCCGAAAGCAAAACATAAAGTATAATTAAGAGTTTCCCTACAAGGTTTTTAGACTACTCAAGTAGTCAAATATGCCCTCAGGTAGCATTGTTATGTTGTTTTCATCCAACATCCTGTAAAAAGCAACATTATATTCGTAAGTGTTACTTAAAGTACCTTGCGGTATGCCGATAATGTAAATAACTTAGTAAATGGTGCGCCCCTCTATAGGTACCTGCGGGCGTCGTTTTCGCCGCTCGTTTCCATTTCTCATTTTTTCTTAACCGAGACTTACATTTCGTCAGAATTACCCATATAGACTTCTAAAAGCAACTATGTATTGTAGTCGCCTGTAAAGTTATACTACAAAGTCATATAACTATAGGCAACGTTATTTTTTACCAAAGCAAAATTGTCTGGTTAACCATAGCTATTTCAAGTTTTCAACCCCACGTGCACTTACAACCAAATCAGCCTTCGTAAGTTGGCAAAAACATCTTTTGGAAGCACTTTTAAGGCGTTACGGGACAAAAATCTGTGAAAGAGAAAAGACATATCATGTTCCTATGAAATTCGAAAACAGGAACAACTTTTAAATGTGTATTATATATTATAAACAACTACAGCCAAGATCAGGATACGTGAGCAAGCGTAACGGTGATAATGGTCTCCGGCCTTCGGCCTCGGTGGATAACACCCTCCGAGATCTGCTTAATTCTTCATATCCTACGAAAGCCGAATTCATTAATTGCTAATAGCCCACTTCGGAAATGAGTGATAGCCTGGGACAAAACTAAGCGCGCGCGCGTTTATGGGATCGTTTGGGGGAAGCAAAACAAACATGGCGGAAAGAAAGTGAAATGTAGCGGGGTTTAAACAGCTCAAACATCCAAAGAGAAGGTGGCGATGAAAGAAAAAAACATGAAAATGTGAAGCTAAAAGAAGAGGATGTGCCTGGGGCTAGTTTATCGCGAGAGAAACCTGAAGAATGCACAGTGAAACAGCTCATGAACCGCACCCAGGTATTAAACACAAAGGGACAATTTACGAAATTCGGGTTCTGCTAATAACTCCAACAGAATGACTTGATGACTACATTAAATTACGTCATTTTGTCAATCAGCTAAATGTTAAAAATGATGGTCACATTCTTTTGTGTAATGGACATTTTAACGATACAGCGGTCATATTGAATTAATTAGATTTAAGGGCATGCCCAGGGGGCTTGAGCACGATCCGATATATTCGCTCAGTATGTACGCTCGCTTTTCGGGCCAATTTTTCTCAAAGTTCTCCTAGAAAAAGATTGTAATGGGAAAAACGATCGTTGTGTCGTGTTTGAATGTAATAACGAGCGCCTTTTTTCCGAGAAATATACAGTGAGATTCTCTTTTTGCCCGAAAAGCGCGCGTAAATACTGAGCGAGTTCCCCCCGGGCATCTCATGATACTCCTTAATCTAATTAATTCAATATGGCTACCGTATCGGTAAAACGGTCTATTTCAGTGGCCGTACAGGGTTAGAGGGGGGCCTCCGAAGCAACCCCGGTCGTAGGAAGCAGAGAAATGCCCGGTCGGAAGAGGCTAAAGTATTTATTTTATGCAGCTAGATACATACAGCCCTAACAGATTTTTCAGACTGGAAAACACATTTTTCGGCAGACGTCCGATGGAGTTCATGCCTAAATGCCTGTTATAGATAACAAAAGTAAATTATAGAAATGTTCTGTCTAAACTCTTTATGGTGCCGCGATCCACAATTAAAGAATTTTTGATGAGTTTGAGACAGCCTTTGCGAAGAATACCAAACACTCAAAATTTCCAGTTCCATTGAAGGGCACCTAAAGTAGTAGCTTAGGAGAGGGCTAGTTTCCTAGAAACGTAAATTGATCCGCGAGGGTTTAGATATTAATGTTGCCCTAGCCACCGTCAGGCGAGGTTCAACTTTTACGTTTACAAGAGGCACTTCATGCACTGCCTCTATTTTATTTACGCAGGTAAAATTTACCAGCCTGCGGACGTTAAAATTATGCGGCAATGGAAATTCACCTTAACATATTTTTTGGCATGCTTTTAAATGTTTAGATTTTTGCACTGCACTCCTTTTCACTTACAACCATTGTAGCTTAGATAGGTTGTCAAAAGTACCATCATATAAAAGTGAAATGTTGTTAAAATGCAAATGCCTGTGAAAGAAACATCAAAAATTGTTTTCAGGTGTCTAGAGATAAAAATATATCAAGTAAAAAAGACCGTAAAAAACAATTCCATTGTAATCCTATCTGGCTTAGTGCACCCTCATCAACTTTTATTAATTATATCGTCCACACGCCTCAACAAAAATTGACCTGATTTTAGGAAGGTTAGTGATATATTTCTGGGAACAAGATACACGTCTTTTTAATGTCGCTATTTTTGTTCCTATGGGTGTTTTACTACCGTTAGAAAGGGAAGAAAAAAAAAAGGCATGCTCTACCATTCACCCAAGATTCCAGATTGACAAATCGACAACCCTTTGCGCAGATCGTTTCATTTTTATGCTTATTCAACTCTTTTTTTTATTATTTATTTCATTCTTATTCTATTGGTTATTCATTTTCTCATAGACATGATTCTTTGCAAACTTTGCAGGAAACCGTCTGCGCGACTTTTTGTTATTACTATTATATTTTTGTGGTATCAATCGAGAGAAATGTATGACAGGACATCTTCCCCCATAATCGTAAAGACAGAGCAGTATTTACTTCTGTTACATATTATATTTTATTATATAGACACGAGTGTTTTAATGGAAAATATACCACTCGTAAGAGTCATAAAAACTACATCCGGAACCCGAGTGGTTTATTTTCCATAATCTCACACGTGAATATATCGATGGCGTAATTTCGGTGATTTCCCTCTATTATTTTATCAATGTGTTTTTGTCTATATAATAAAAAGAACATTACACGGCGGCTTGAAGATATGAATTTTCTTTTCTCGTGGCAAAAACAATATTTTACTCACTTGCTGCGCTCGTTCGTAAAATATTGTTTTGCCACTCGAAAATGAAATTCATATCTTCGCGCCACCGTGTAATATCCTCTACAAATTAAGTTATCGGCAACTTTGGATAAGGGGAAGCTTAAAAGGTTTAATAGTAGTGCCTCAAAAATGGCTAAGCTAAAAAATACCATAATTGGTAAGGGGACGTCATGTGACACAAACCGTCCTGATTTTAGTTTCGCCATTTTGTATTTCATAAAAAAAAAACTAGCACCCCATCTGAACCATGATTGAAATAATAGACTTCGGTTACTTGAAAATAACTTACAGCATTTCCAGATTCTTAAGGCTAGTAAATACACTTTTGGGTAGAGTTTGGATGGCAGGTGAATATGTTAAAGACCTGTTAAAAGTTATCGTGAAACAGGGAATACGTTATTTTCTTAAATAACAATCATACGTGAGCAATATCGCGATTACTAGCAATTAGTAAATGAACCAATATCACATAATTTCTATTTTACACATCGATTTTAATTCTTTCATCTACTAAGTAAATTGGTTTTAAGGCTATATACAAATGCACTCGGCAACTCTCAAAACTTCAATTAAAAATCTTCCATGTTAAAAGTACAGTAAGAACTGAAATTCAGTTTCACTTTAGAGTACTTCCATTCTCTTTAAAAGCGTGCGTGATATTCGAGATTAACCGGCGTTTTATACAATTCAAAAGATATAAACAATTAAATTTGTAAAAATTAAACTTGATTGAAAATTAAACTTAGCCAATTTTTTGGCGCTTTTATGGACTCAAGCGATTTTTTTCCAGTATATAATTCAAGACGATCAAATAACACAAAATGCATTTCTTACAAACTGTGGGTAATCGTTGGTGCGCATTCCTCGAGAAAGTCAGATAGGGAAGACGTTACATTCTGACAAAAAATCATATTTTCAGGAATCACCTCGGAAGACATAGTGCATTCTTGTCTGCAATCTGCATCAAACAATATTTAAAGATAAGAGAATAAAAAGCTTCTAATGACTATTTTTGACTATTAGGATTGTTTGAAAACAATAACTTACATGTACGCAGTTTGACGGACAGATTGTATTAACCCTAAGAAGTACAAGTGAAGGGGAAGTGGTAGCCACCCCCACTAAGGTTTTTCTGATTTTTTCCCTAGACGATAAAACATCAGCACCTGAAGTTTTCTGTAGCTGTTAGTTTATCCTTCGCGCGCATTTTGAGACAAGTTTAGTGGCGGTCAGTTACTATGGTTACGATATAAGACGTCATAAGTAGCAGGTGTCAAGCCATTTTTGAGTGAAAATGCATGTTTTTTCAACTTTTTTCAAAAGTAAAACTTGTGGATGAAATGATGCAAAGTAATTATTTATGAGTTATTTTACATGTTAAGCGCAAAAAATTATTAATTCACACTGTTTTTCCTGATTTCTAATTCTTGAAAAAATCCGAGACGGCGGTCAAGATGGCGACCATGTTTGGTGACGTCACAGACCTTCAGCAGCGCCAACACCCATAAAATATATCTCCATCTTGTAGAGACGATCAAAGGCTTTCCACCGTAGGCAAAATTGCAGCATATCGAAAACCCAAGGGGGTTCTATCACCCCCCCCTCCCCTTGTACCACGGTGGGGGTGTGACTGAATGTTCGTCCGATGGTTAAGGGGGATTCGATAGAAAAATGATACAACATCACAAACCAAACAGTACTTACCGATAAAAACGACACTGAAATCAATTCTCGTATAGTTTCCATAATTATTGACTGCTACACAACTGTAGTTTCCTTGACCTGATAATTTGAACTTTCCAGCGCTGACTGCACGTCCAAGTACTGTGGAGTTCTTCATAAGACTCAAAACTATCGGTGGAGTTCCAGTGGTTGTTACTGATAATCTAGCATCTTTAAATGCTCGCACAATAAAAGCAGGGTCTGGTAGAATTATCTTGGGTAAAGCTTATTGATGTGAAAAAAGAAAATAAATAAATAAAATAAATCACTACAGGTGGTCTTCTATATTTTAAATATAGTATTCAAAAGGCATTTTGTCCTCGAACCTCTACAGGAAAACTCTGTTTGAGCCGGATTTAACATGAATTAAAAAAACTGAACGCACTTCAGCACATTTGAAGAACACATGCTTGACAGAGCAGATGAAACCCGTCTACGAATTAAACACCTGTTCTCTTACCTCGATGTTTTTTTTTTTTTAATTTGTTCTTGTTTTAAAGCTAGTGGTCCAAATTGCTTCCTTACATTTTCTCTTGAAATTTATCACCAAAAGCATTTCTTAACCGCCAAGTTAAAAAAAAAGCTGCGAAAACAACTGGACCAAACCGATAGAAATGTAGCAAAAAGTTGTTCACTTCCATCTTAGTGATCCACGTACGATCCACGCAACAGTGGTTTTGTTGAACTCAATTCTTACAAAATCACTTACTAGGATGAATAAAGGTGAACAGCAGCATAAATCCTCTCTTTTGGTAATCACCGTCAGAGTGGAATGTTATCAAAGCTTCTTTGCCACCCACAAATATTTCCTTCCCAGTACTTTGACGACAATCATGAGTAACGTAATTGTTTTCATCATCTGTAACGTTTAAATAATCATAACTGAAACGCAAAATTATGGTTGATCAATAATAAAACTAGCTTAAGGGGGTTTCTTTATGCTATGGTGTTGGAAGGGGGGCGGTGGACTCACAATCGTAACATTGATGGTTAGCCGAGTGAACTTGAAGCTGCTCAGTGGACAACTTATTTGAATACTGTCAATTTACCTAAGGCATGTGTACATGGCATATATCGCTCAATATATGATAGAGAAGACTGCTTTTTCGTTTCAAAATTGCGTCAAGGAATGCCTAGGTAAGTGTGACTTTAAATATCGATAACAATAATGAATAACACAATTACTGGAAATTCCAGTAGTTTTTATTGTGGTCCAATTTAAGATTGGCCGTCACCTGACAAGCCAAAGTTCTTGTGAATTATAGAAAACGATTTGTAATAGGTAAGCCCTGGAATAAGCCGAAAAGAAGAAAGAGCCACTTTCCAGTTCAAAATTGAGAGTTTGAGAGCCACCACTTCGTTCGTGGATACCCCACCTGAAGAAAACAATTCTTTAGTGTTTACCTTTTTAGACAGTATGGCTAAGAGACGTAATAGAGGCACCCAACAAGAACATAGTTCAAAACCACTTAAACATAGCATTGTTAAACGTATTTTAGTATTTAAACGGTAGATATAGGCATATTTTTATCCCCTAAAAATTTTTCATCTGTTCGGATTTCCTAGCTGAAAGTCTAGTGATCCGAAAATTATAGGAATCAAAACCTACCTTTTCGAAAATTTCAGCCAGATAAAAGGCTCCCGAAAATTCTAGGTGATCTTTTTAGGGTAAAAATCCCTTAAAAATGGGCAATTATACCATTGTTTAGACGTTCGAAAATCCTAGGAGAGGCAGGCAAGCAAGAAATTTTACAACAAATGTTCCGAAAGTTCGAGATCTCAAATCGTCTTCCGAACAGATATTTTCCGAAAATTGACGTTGGGTGCCCCTGACGTAATAGAAAGTCAATAAAGAATGTTTCTCAAGTTACCATTTCCCAGTAAAAACATTTGGATACTCCAAAAGAAAATCTTGATAGGTGATTTTCAATGCCATGCCCCCTGGAATAGCGATCTTGTAAACGCAGTGCATATTGCTTGGGTAGTCATTTGTATAATCAGGGCTTTTCAATGTATTGTTAAAAACCGAGCCACAACCTGTGAAATGAAAAGCACCTTTCTTTAAAGGGGCTGTGTCACGGTAGTCCAGTTCATCTTGTTTAATTTTGCCAATTACTCGCCCTCAATCGGTATGGAACTTAAAGTAAGCAAAGAAATTACATTTAAATGAGAACATCAGAGATCCGAGACAAACAAATATGTCTCCTGAGCATTATTTTTGAAGTCAATCAGCAGGGGCAAACTTTGAAAAACTGTTAGGCTGAACAGTTTTCAAAAACCCTAATTTCAATCTGTTTCAATCTTCTTCAGTTTTGCCCATCCGTGGCATCTGTTGTTTCTCTTATGTTATATTAACCTTCCTTTAAAGTTTTAAGTGGTTATTTTTATGTTTCTCTAAATTTAAGGAGCATTTTGTAAGTTCTTAATTTGGCTGAATTTCGTGACACAGCTCCTTTAAGGGGCTGTGACACCACAATTATCAAAATTTCAACGGTAGAAACCACGACCAAACTGATTGAAAAACAACAATTACTGCTCACAACATGAAAAGAGGGTATCAACGGTACAGTAAATTCAAAAGGAGTAACGTATGGGCAAACTTGAAGAAGATTGAAACGGATCGGCGTCGTGGTTATTGGCAACTGGTTAACCTAACACTTTTTTTAAAGTTCATTGTTCGTTTTGCAACTTTTAAAATAATGTTTGAGAGGCATATTTCTTTGACACGAACTTAAAATTCTCAAATTCCATAGAGAATATGAACGCGTAGTGAACTGTATTACAAAATAAACAGGACAACCATGACACAGCCTCTGTTTCACTCCAGACACACGTAAAAAGATGACAATGCATTGAGTTTCTGACTGTTCTCAGAGCCTTCAAAGCCCCTCCGGTCCAATAAAAACCTTCTTAAAAGATGTTAAAACATGCCACTCTATGAGCCGCCATTTTGGATCATGTTTAAGGTGGCTCGGTAGGGTTTTTCAGGGTCAATATATATCAGTCTTATATTACTTGCAGCTGTATTTCGTGGCACTGGGGAAATCGACATACTTTGGGATGAAGTTTTTATGGTCGAAAAGTCGGAAATACGGTTAAAACTGGACAATCTTGATGTTCAGCCGTTATCCGTGGAAACGCTTTTAAATTAATAATAATAATAATACTGATAATAATAATGACTTTAATGCAATACATCCACTATGTGGCTCCTCGCTTGCATCTCTAACTAGTGCTTAACTAAAATTACAAATAATTTACTTTAAAAATAGATAGGTACAATATTTACTCTTAAACAACTAACAAAAGAAGAAAACGTAGTACATAACTGTATGAAAACAAAAAAATGGATACTATAAGCAATTTTATCTCATAGTAGTTTCAATCTTTTTAAAAACGTGTTTGAAAGATCATGGAGATAGCTTTAGTCGATTGCAACAAAGAAGGATTTCATTAGTATGCTTTGAGGCGCTCCAGTTAGAGGTTTTGTAAACAGTTTGGCATACTTAAACAGATAAGCGAATAATTTTGAAACTGCTAGATCACCCAAGCTCGTCATCCCAGCTGGGATATGAGGCCAAAAAAATTGAGATTCTCGAGATTAATAGTCGTTTTATATGACCTTTGCAAGGCAGTAAAAAAAGGGCTAACATTGGCTAATTTTGTCGAAAACTTGGTGTTAACAAGCAAGACCCGTCTCTTATTATTCAAGGGGCGTTGTCTCCAAGTTTCATTTTCCCTTCTCAAACTCATTAATAATTCATAAAGAAAATTCAAAGGAAATTAATGTTTAATGAGTGTTTGGATATCTGATGAAAAACTGCTCATTTTTGCATCCTTAATTTCTCCTTCAAAAATGATTTTCGTCAAAAATACTCCGCTGCGCGTCGTATTTTCAACTCTCTTCTCGGTGTTTCATCTGGTGATGAAACACTGCATCTCATGTTTGATATATTACATAAACAGCAGTAGCTAACAATGCATTTGAAAGATGCAGAAATGTTGGCTATTGTTGACGACGAAAATATGAAACTTGGAGACAATATCCCTGAATAATGAGAGGTTCTCACTTGTAAACACTTAAAACTTATAAACTCACCACGCGGCCAAGCTGTTAATCATGATCCAGAATGGCATCTCAAAATCCCGCATTTTTTGGAATAATAGGAAGGTTAGTAGCTAAACTCAATAAATAATAGAACATAGTCTTACCTATGATAACAACAGGAATAATTCTTATATTAGTTCCATAATAGCTGGTGGCAACACAACTGTAGTTTCCTTCGTCATTTAAGCTTACTTCTGGAGATCTGGTTGTATTTTTCCGGACAGTTCCGTTGAATATTATTGCTGTGTATATCGGAGGTGTTCCCGTGGATGTGCACTTTAGTTTCGTGACACCAGCTGGTGTGCGAATAATAGTTCCTGGAACTGGTGCTGTAATATTGGGAAAGACTGAAAAGACAAATAAATTCTTCCGTTATTAGGTGCAGTACAATGATACGCAAAAAACAGCATTTACTTCAACACAATGGATTAGAATAGAGTCGGAGTCGGAAGTTTCTCGAGAAACCTAACCTTAAGCGACATGCAAGAGGAAGCAACAATGTTGCGTTCGCTTGCAGGGGGCCTACTAGATTTTTGACGTCCTCATTGCCGCTGCCGTCGAGGCATCATGAAATTCCCTATTTACTAACGCGTAAACGCCTTAGCAACTCCGGTACCAGAATGACTCTTTTGACTAGTTTAATCCTATACGATACAAAAAATACAATGCAATGCAATACAATAAAGAGGGATGCAATGCATCATAATGACATGCAATATCAATGCATGCTCAAAGTAAAAACAATGCGGAACTAGCGAATACATCGTATAGAAAATTTAGAAGTCACGTGATAAAAAAATAATTTATTCGCAATTATATGCCCAAAAACATTCCCGCGGCTGTAGTGCATGTACCTCTCAAAACACGCTTTGCGTATCCATGAGCTCAACTCTCCGGGTCTCAGGGGTTACACCGTTCAAGCGGCCCTATGATCGAGATACTCATCGTATATTATATTGACAGAGTTAGAGCAAGTGAATGAGTATCCAAAGTGCACTTCGGCAACAACGCAAATATGTCGTTTTCATATCGGACACCGAAGTCTCTCGATTTCGGAGCCGAATATTGCCTACATCTGAGTGAGTGACACACTTGCATATCGAAGCCCACCATAACAACTCGCAGCACGCTTTGGACACTTACAAGGCTTTGAAAAAGTAAAATTAAGGAAAAATCCTCTTTTTTCGGTCCATCCGTTTGAGTAAAAAGTTAACAATGCTCGACTTCCTCCAACGACAGCTTCTTCGCCAGTAAGCTCCCCACAGAATCTACCAACCTCCACTTTGTTTTCGTCTGCAACCTTTAGGTAATCGGAGAAGCTGCAAGAAATTAAATATAGAAATAAATAGCCCACACTTCATATATTAAAATTCTAACATGATGCTAGCAGGGTAGAGTTTCACAAGGTTAACAAATTGTTTCAATTCTTTATTGAGCATTTTGTTATTCACTTCCACATTTTCAACTACACAAAGTGTTTATGGTTCTTATTGGAAAAAGAAGGAGAGGTTGAATAAGAATGTATTAAACTACCCTGCGAACAAGCTGGTCTTACAAGTAACCTGTATACTATAATTGCTCACCACAAGGACATTATATGTGGTATTAGAGGGTCCTGCAACCAAAAATCGAGAAACACTATTTTCAGCGCCATTCCCTCTGGAATAGAAACACTGTACACACAGTGTGTATTGCTTGGGTAGTGGCTTGGATATCCAGGACTCTTAAGGGTATTGTTGACCAGTAGCCCACAACCTATTAAACATGTTCAATAAAACGGTATTAGTAAAGGAAAAAAAAACAAGGCCAATGAGGGAGGAGGAACTCCCTATAATGGGGTTTCTCTACAGCAAAGCTAAACGGCCGTTCCACGTCCACCACTCCCAACCACCGCCACCACCACTCACCCGCTTACCATAGTGGGGAATTTTTTTTTGCAGTCTAGATTTCAAGATAAAAAACAACAACCACGACAATCAATCATTTTTTTGTTGCTTGGAACCGTTCTCCCGTTCATTGATTTCAATTGAAATATTCTCACGGCTGAAATACCAAATCACAATAAAATCTACTCTAGAAGTCAAGGAAATATCGGACTATTTATTTATAAATACTTAAACTTTTCTCGGAGAAATACAGTCTTTATTTGGTCCTGCAATATATATATATTTAGCAAACGCTTGTGGTTATTTCTGATACAATTTTAAAATAACAAAAAAAATATTGTAAGTTGTTTTTACAAACTTACCGGATGCTGCAAGAGTGCCAAAATGGCCAAACCACCCCACAATTAATAAAACGAATTGAACTTTCATGATGCCGAAGTATTGTGTGCCTTTCCTGTAACAAACAAGGATCATCTCAGTAAACGAAATTGTTATCTTGAAATTACAATGCCAAGGATTTTCAATCGATTGGAGGTCTACAATACCGTATAACGTTTAAAAAACAGTTCCTGGAGACACATATGTAACTATTCTTGATATAACGTGGCTTTTACGATGGCATCATTTTTTTTAGTGCCAGAACCCTTCAAGATCTTAATTCTTATGCAAACCAGGGATTTTGCATGTTATTAAAACATCACAGTGATTATTCACGGTGATTACTTTGTTTCTCCTCGAAAATTTAAATGAAATGAATTTCGGTCGTTGTGGTAAAATGATGACATCCGCAAATGGCACTGCTTGGTTTTCCAAAGGAAGCTCTCCTTATGAAGATCTCCAAATTTTAAAACGAAAAAAGACAAATGCAAACACCACCACTGTGCTTTCATCTTTTAGCCTCTGTTTTACCCTGTCTTCCCTAATTTGTGGTAAACTTAGGTACCTTCATGCGGCATCAATTTTTCATCCCAAAATCTTCCTAACAGCATGTAACAGAAAACTCACAGTTCAAGAACCATTGTGGAATAATAAATTCGGCTGGAACAATATGAACGCACCCATTTCTTTGTCCTAACTTCAGGTAAGGTTAGTAGAAGTAATATCATCTCAAAGGGAGGGCATTTTGCAGTTCACAATATGTTGTCAGCTGTTAGATTGGAGGTGCAGAACCTCAAGAGTTAAGAAAATGGCTGAAAGTTTTTAAAAGTTAAGTGAAGACGAAATAGCCCGGTGAATAAATGACTCAAGTAGAAGGCAAGAACCCTAAGAAATGTATTCAAAGGTTGTCAACTGGTTTTTGGCAGAATATTTATAATCGATATTTTTCACAACCAAGAGATGCTGTGTCCTGCTTTCCTTTCGAGTTGTCCCAAGAAATTTTACTGTACTTAAGAAAGAAATGAAAGAATATGACTTTATTCTAGCAAAATACACTGCAACTTTCAACTAGGAAAGCACTTTGGCCAAGAATTCCCCAAGTATCCCACAACGTTTGAAATATTAGGTAGATCTTAGTGCACTAAAATACAATTAGTCCTTATAGCTTTTTCTTCTTTGTTACAAACCATCTTCTTTCTTCTTTGTTACAAACCAAAACATCTTTAAGCTTGGAGTCGTATTATGAAACATGTTACAGTGATAGATTTTTAGCTAAAGAGACTTGATGTTATATGATAAAACGTGAATTCATCCTGTACGGAGTGGTAAATTGATTTACCGAAATAACTTTTCCACTTTATCGTCTATAGTCAAGGTAGCAGATAAACAATTTAAGTTAACCTTCTTCTAAAAGAAAGGAGAAAATGCAAGAAAATAATGATTTGTACCCTGCACCGTTTGGTATATAATTGATCCACGGAAAGATGAAAAGTTATAAATAAGCTGTATGCATATGTAATTTGCCTCTTCGAGGGGGAGTTTTTAACCGGACCAGCTTGGTTAAAGCAAGGAATAAACACCAACCCCTGAAAGAAAAATTAGACTAAGTTCAGAATTGAAGGACATTACAGGGATCAAGGGTATGGAGAATGGAAATGAATGGTATTTGTGACAGTGTAGTAAAAAGGGACAGGCGGAAATAGCTGTTCTGTCGGCACGGACCAGAGGACTGGGTCAGCTAGGGGGAATTGTGGGTAGCTTTCTGAGACGTGTACGGTTGTTCGTTGTAAATTTGAATTAGTCTAGGTCAGCGTTCATTCGAACTCAATTTTGTTATATTCACTTGTTGGCATTTAGCAGAAATTAATTTCCTCTTACCCCTGCCGCCCATTTGTCCAGTACCTCTCATGAACCTAATTTCAGTGGTCAATATTGCCTTTTTTTTTCAGGGATAGGCGCATTGTTATGTCACCGTTTCTATTGTTTTCACAGCCAATTGTGTGAACCGTTCAGTGAGGTGCTGCTTGACCCGATTTGTCGGCACCGCCGCTGAATTCAGCAGGTTGAAGTATACGTTCCCTTCTTTCCACGAAGTGGTTTTGGGTTTTCGTATCTGGCGGAGACGTACTCAGCTTTTTTAGAGGTTTGTCCTTTGTCATAGTGGGTTTTGTAATTTAGTGTGGTTTTATTATCTTACGGTAGTTTTGCAATAAACTGGCTCTGAGGTCCCTTCTGACTTACAGGCCCCTGAATCTACTCTTGGGTGCGTGTCTTTCTAGGTAGTGTAGGCAAATTAAGAATTTCTGTTTGGTTGGCAAGGAGAGGCTGGACCTAATGGATTAGAGAACAGCCATGTTAGCTCCCAACCTGGGCAAATCCTGGGTTCATCAGTGAGCTCCCAGTAAAGAATTTAGAGAAGACGAACGCAAAGCCCCAGAAAAGCTTTTAACGAAACATCTGCCACCCACACCTTTAATTGATTAACATTTACCAACGGGGAAAAAGCGTGGTTCCAGTTTATAAATAAACGGCAATAGAATGAGATTAAACGAATTCTTAGCTTTAAAAAGTTAGGTTTTGATAGCGCAGTGGTATATACTCTTGAACTAGTACATACTGAATCATTCGAATACATCTTTTTTCCAAAGACACTGAATTTATTATTGGTGTCAACTGGTGCAAGCATTTCACCCTACTGGATAAAAATTATGCAAGGAAACGGAATGGCACATGCGTCAGGCGGGAAAGGACAGACATCTTGGAATTATGTGAGGCGTAGTAGTAATAGTTCAAACTTTGCACAGCGAGTCTGTGGTGAAAGTTATTAATGGACGTGAGTATAACATGAAATTCAAAAGTGGTAAATCACGAGTTCTTCGTGTACAAAATAACAAACGGCAACATTGACACTTGTCTCTGTCTAAGACTTCTCAATCTCATCCTGAGAGGAAACTTCCTAGTGCAGTTCTTCTTCACCCTCCGCTGCATCTTGCTGTAGTTGTCCCTGACCATTGATATTTTGAAGGGGAAGGTCTGACTGAGGCGCTTCAGAGAAGATGCTCTCCTTGGGGGGATTTTCTTGGTTTTCCTGCGCCTCTTGATGAAGGATTACCCCCTTAAGATCACCGTGACTTTCTTGTGTATCAGGATGGGAAACCTCTTGGTCTTCTTGTGTGGTTGTGTCATGCAGGCCTCCTTGGCATTCTTGTGCATCCGTTTGATGGTTTTGGTGAAGATTGTCATCCAGGTGTTCTTCATTATCGTTAAGAGTATTTTTCGCGTTCAGTTCATTTAGGTCTTTCACGTCTCCTTGGCATTCTTGTGCATCCGTTCGAGGGTTTTCGTGATGATTATCATCATGGTGTTCTCGATCATCGTCAGGAGTATTTTCTTCCGGCTCAGGATTTTCCTTTATATGATCATCATGGCCCTCCTGCATTTCTTTCACTTCCACCGTCGGCTGAGTGTCAGGCCGTCTCTGTAAGAATGCAGAAATTCTGTCCTTCAACACTGAAGGAATGTTCCGAAAGTAGCTTAGGACTTTCATTTTCTTCTCCTGCAGGTGCATGTCTGGATTTTCTTCTTTCCATTTCCCCACCATTTCTTCTATGATCCTCTTTCGAAGTCGCTCATCGCTGGTCATTCTTTTGGCAAATTTTCTGGGAAAAGAAATGCACATTACGCAAGAATTACAGGAAGGATTACAAAACTGAAACATTTTTTCACATTCTAATTAAGGGACAATATTTCTTCCAGGCAAAGTCGCGCAGATATTACTCTCAAAAGCACATACATTCAGAATTAAAAAAATAATAATAAATCGTTTGTAACACGCTGAAAAGATTGTAACAAGAGGCTTGTGATTTGGTAGCATCGTAACATGTTTCGTTACAGTACCTCTCCTTACAATAGCGAGTGGTAATAAGTGAAATGTACTCACTTCCATAAAACAAAGGCTACGATGGCAGCCACTCCAAGGGCCCCGAACAAGCTCCCTAAAATGACCCCAATATGAGACTGGTTCTCTTTTTTGTCCGACTCCTCCCAAAGTGTGTCATCAATATCAAAGTCGTCAACATCAAAGTCGTCGTCATCAAAGTCGTCGTCGAAGTTGTCCCTTGTGTCATCTCGAGACTCATTGTTGTCCTTAAATTCTGTTGGTTTATCAGCTGGGTTCTCCATCGTGATAGGACCTTCAATGGAAGCATAAATATTAGAGCAGGGAAACCTCAAGCAATCTCCCAAAAGAAATAAAAAAAATGAAAAGAGCTAAGGATTAACTTCATTGGCTCAAGAAAGAAACATACATTCCATTAAAGAACAATGTTCTGAGCATCTAAAAGCAATCCAGTGTTTGTTTAAAGTTAATGAAGGGTAAAGGTTATCTCCTCTTTGTTGGTCAAATATTGTCGGAACAGTTTATGAATAGACCCCTCGTACCTAGTCATTCACAAGGTACAAAACCACCATGCTGGAGAGCAGGGTACGCACTGAGACAAGAGATACAAAGAGCTTACAACATTTAATATCAGAATCCACTTTGTTTGTCTACTCTTCAACATTGCAGTTTTGTAGCATGTGAATTACTGGCTGCAAAGGACCTACCTTAACTTATTCCCATAAGAGAGGACGCCTACGTGTTGATTAATGGGCTCCACCTCTTTTCTTTTAATTCTCAATATTTTACTATATCGAACTGCCAAGGCTCTTTCACTTTTGTATCAGAGTCCCAGCTACACGTTTAATAACCGCCGCCTGGTTAGCTCAGTTGGGAGAGCACCGGTCTGCCGAGCGGGAGGTCGCGGGTTCAAACCCCGGCCGGACCAACACTCAGGGTCTTTGAAAAAACTGAGAAGAAAGTGCTGCCTTTGTAATGACATCTGCAAATGGTTAGATTTTCTAAGTCTTCTCGGATAAGGACGAAAAACCGTAGGTTCCGTCTCACAGCACTTTCACTGATTTGTTCTTGTGGGACGTAAAGGAACCCACATCACTATTCGAAAAAAGTAGGGGTCGTAGACCACGGTGGTGTGGCCAACCTTTACGGGTTGTGGGATTGGGTACGGATGGCACCTTGCATGGGACCTGAGTCCCGTTCGTGCACATTCCCTCTGGGCAGGCATGTGCCCAGAAAAGCTGGTAAATAATACGCCACAAACTATAAAAACATCACAAACCAATGCATTTGTGTATTGGATGTATCCGGTAGCCTTCCTTGCAGGAGCATTTATATTTTGAAGGTATAACGAGCCATTTATTTAGATAGATCGGTCGACAGTCTTCAGAGTCAGTATTACAGGCAGCCTCTTCAAACTGGCAAATGTTCATTCCTAAAATAAACAAACAAGGTGAGATTTAATCAAATTGATGTTTTAGCCTTTTTTTAGCCTTTGCCGGATGATAATTATCACGACTGCCATTGCCAAAGATTTAAAGGGTCTTTGTCACTGCTGTCTAGTTCATTTTGTTAATACTTTTAATTAAACGTCCTTATTAGCCTGCAAGCAAGCTCTCCGGGGCGCTCGGGCGGCGAAGCGAGAAAGGGAAGGAGAGCTTGCAACTACGTCCCTGGAATTTGAAAATCTGGATCGAAAAAGTCGATGCGAAATTTTGTTTGGCGGAGATGACATTAGTTGATGACGTTTGTTTACATTCGCACTCGTTTCCGCTTCGCGCTAATTGGCAAAAATCTGACAGCTCAGTCGACGGGGAGCCAAAGGGGAATTGGAATTTAAATTCCATAGACGCAGTTTCAAGTTCTCTTTCCTTTTCCCGCCCCGCCGCCAGAGCACCCCGGAAAGCTTGCTCGCAAGCTACGTCCTTATTCGCTTTGGAACTTGACTTTAGCAAAGGCAAAATCAGTGATTCATGTCCGAAAAATATGTCTCCCAAGCGTTGCATCTGGAGTTACAAACAAAACGGATCAATTCAGGTTTCTGGAAAACTGCCCACCTACCCCTCGCTTAAGCTATAAAATTAACACTTACATCTTATCTAAGGACAAAATGTTAGTGTAGGGGAGGGGTAGGTGGGCAGTTTCCCAGAAACTTAAATTGATCCACAAAAAGTATTATCTTTGAAAAACTGTTAACGTAAAGCTTATAAATTTTAAAAAACCACAGTTGCAACCCGTTTCAATCTTCTTCAAATTTGTCCATCCATGACCTTTTTTGTATATGCTGTGACACTTATGCTTTTTATTTATATTTTGAGGAGTTATTTTAATGTTTCGCTCAATCTCGTAGCATTTCCAACTGTTTGAATTTCGATAACTTTCTTGGCATGCACAGCTCCTTTTAATGAATAACTAAAAATCATGTGATATTTACGTCGTAATACACCTACCCTGTATCCGTATAGCATTGTGATCAAATTCCCTCGTGTTTTCCTGTGTCTTTACTGTCACTTTTCCGCCGCGGTTATCTGACCTCGCAGTGAGGGAAACAATCTTTCCTAACTGAAACTCGTTCGATTGAACCTCAACCAACACTGTCTCTCCAACAACAAGTGAACTCCATTTTGGAATTTTATCTATGTAGAGCCTTTCGCGAAGCGACGGGTATTGAAATTTTGACGTATGACTCCTAATGTTTGACTTGAATATAAGTCCACTCCTCTTCGAGAGGCTATAATCAACAATGTTGCCTAGCTCCCAAGCTGACGGTTCCTTGTCTAAGAACAAGCCTATCGCTGGTATAACTACAATAGAAAAAAATACATGAGTCAAAATAAAAGCACTCCCTTCAAGTCTTTTATTAAAACATTACAACCAACACATAACTGATAGTAGTAATCGCAGATTAAGCGGAAACGTTCGTTCCTCGTAGAGTTTTCCATTCAAGAATGCAGTAATGACAAGTTTCTCTTAGCAAGCCTCAAAGTACATTTAAATACGAAAGGAGTTGCTAGATTAAAACCACTACAAATTTCCCGATCATTCCCACCCCTAGGTCCATGATAAGTGGTGCAATCTATCCACACGGTCCAGTTTGTCTTGTGTCTGTAAGCGGGGTTACCGCTCCCCTTGTGTAGCGCAGCAGTGCTTTATGGCCAAATAGCAAAATATCAGGATTCAAATCATTATACACGCACCTTGTACATGAACCCACGTTGCTGATGTAATCATTCCTCTTCTATTTTCAGCAACACACTGATAAATGCCATCGTCTATGTAATTTACGTCTCTGAGGTTTAGTTTGTGTCCTTCCCGAGTGAGATGTGAACTGTTGAAAAACGATAGCTCAGGTTGAGGCGAAAGGTAACTAAAAGATTTTACAAGGAAAAGAAAAGATAAAATAAGAACGATAGATTATGATTAAGGGCTTGTTTACAAGGAGGCGGAGAAACCCAGGAAGGTGAGGTAACCCGCTTAGGTGGGGTAACCTGCCCGTTCATATAATCTCTCATCTTAATTTGATCACGTTTACATGATAGGTGGGGTGACCCGCCACATATTAACTCACCTATCTGGGGTCCTCCACCTCCATGTAAACAGGCTTTAAGAGAGGCATGCAGCACATTCGGTCCTGTCTGAACTAGATTTCGGAAATACTGGCTTTTGAGAGGAGGGGGAAACCGGAGTAACCGGAAAATAAAACTTTCCGAAGCAAGAGTGAAAACCAAATAAGGCAATTAAGCAGTCGAATCCTATCGAGAATGGTATTGTCATCGAAAAATGTCCCCGAGTAAACAATGAGAAATAGTGAATGAATAGATAAATAAATAAATAAATTGAATAAGTGAATAAATGAATGAATAAATTCTACATTCGAAAGGTTTTTACAGAGCTCATTTTACCGCATGATGTCAGTGGTCCTCCTCTATGATTATTTTCGCAATCGGATAATGTGATTACCAAATATTCAATACTCCATTAGGTTTAAACATCAAACCATTATATAAATATGAGTTATTTAGAAAACGAAATATCTCACGATGCAAAAATACGGCAAAAAAAGTTCTTCAAAACTTACTTTGCAAATTGCACTTGCTTTCCATTTTTAAACCACGTGATCTTCGCTGTCGGGAAGGCTGTCACTTGACATTCCAACGATCCATTTCCACCAATAGCAATGCTAGTTTTCTGTTGTGGAGGACTCAAACTCCATCTTGGTGCAACTAAGACAAAAATAATACAAAGGAACTGTGTCACGAAATTTATTAAAATTCGAACGCTGGGAGCTGTCACTAAATTGAGTAAAACATGAAAATAACCGTTTAAAAAATTAAAACAAGGTATAACAAAAAAGGAGGTACGGATGGAAAAACTTGAAGAGACTGAAACGAATTGCAATTATGGCGGTTTTTTGAAACATTGCTTGCCTAACAGTTTGTCAAATCGATGCAAAGTTCATTTTTGTTGTTATTATATTAATGCTTGGGAGACATATTTGCTTGATAAGAAACTGTGGCGTTTCCATTCGTAAGTAATTTCTCAAGTATTATTAACAAAATGAAGTACTAGACAGCCGTGACCGTCCCTCGTTCCTTTTAAGTGGAATTTTTCTAATTTCGTTTAACGCTACACGGAACATTTTAGCTTTCTATGGCAAGCTTATATACTGGCTTTAAGAAAACCACAGATAACTAAAATACGATCGTTTTATCCGAACATGAAGTGCTTCCGAAAGAATCCAGAAATGGACAAATTCGAGACTATTTGCTACATTATTGGCTAGGTCCAAATGTTCTTTTTCGTCATGCCCAATAAACGATAAAATAAACGAAACCTCGGTATAAAATAACACTACGCTGAAAAAACCCAAATATTTTTCAGTAATTGAATATCCCTTCATTAGCCCCTTGATTAGGGACGGTTCCAAATAACAACTGACTTACCATCGACAAGTAGTTTTATAGTATAGATCAACGGTCGGCCAATGTATAGAGAACTTTCTGCCTCACATGTGTATCGATCTTGGTGAAGCGTCCGGTTTGCCTTTGCCAAATAGAGACTTCTTCCGTAGAAAGCCAAACGAATACCAATGGAATTATGCTCTTGAGTTATCGGTTGTCCATTCTTTTTCCACGTTATCTCTGGTGTCGGTCTGCAGAATATCAATCAATCAATCAATCAATCAATCAATCGATTCATTAGGCTTATATTTCTTTGGGCTACTCGTTGGTTTATAATACATATTTTTTAGCTTCGTCTATGAGTTCCTAGAGAACGAGAATATAACCCGTGAGAGCAGGCTAAAAATTTTATAGAAGAGCAATATTTGCGTATAAGAATCCACTTGGCTTTTGGTTCTATCCGTCAACTAGTTATAAAAATATCAACTGTAAAAATATAGCACTTAGTCACCATTATAACAAAACATTTCCCCGATTCTGATTGGCTAAAAGCACACGCATAATTCACCATAACCACCTACTGATGACCAAATTTGGAAGAATTTTGCATTTACTGACCGATGACGTCAAAAGTGCAGTCTTCTGCAGGTTAATGCACCAGTAACCGAGAAAACCTGGGGACGAGGTTGAGTTGTTTTGGTTGTGAAAACAAAAATGGCGGACATTTCACTCGTTTCAAGAGTAAGAACTAGGCGAAATAATGGCTTAAAACATGGCAAGAACAGCAAGAAGACAACTCGAAGGGCGACATCTGCTATTTGGAGAATATTTGCGGAGCTGAACAACCCTAAACGTGCACTATCGAAGATGAACTGGACATCGATGGAGGCAAACATGTATTAGCTATGTTTTTCAACTAGAAATTATTTTGAATGAATACTAAAACAATTATTGAATTCGGCTTTTGTATCATATAAAGAATTATGGAGATGTCGGAGCTTTAACGCGTAGTCAATATAGTAATCTGCAGTGGGTGCAGTTATCCACGAGGTCCAGCATGGCACCTTACCTTCCGTAAGCAAAGCAGTATAAAGTCTTGCTTCTTCCTTCAATAGCGATTTCCTCTGATGCTGGCACAACGGCCCAAGACGGCGAGCGAAAAGTCTTAGGAACTGGAAAACAAAGAAGAGATTTTACACCTCGACTGATTTTAAATGAGAGGGGTTTTGAAGAAAGAAGCAGACCCAGCAGTTAACAAATGCTACTTTACTGGTACTTCACAGCACTTTACCTAGACTATTAACAGACGCATGCGAAATATGGAACAGCGGGAGTGGTGGGTGGGGGGGGGGGGGGGGGGTAGGGAGAGGAGAGGAGGAGGGGTGTAACCCCCCCTCCCCCGCCTAAACGGAATGCCCCCAATGGAGTCAACGAATTACCCCGGAAGTGTGTTTCGAATTTCCTGTCTGCTTAATTGGCAAATCGACAATCGCATTTTTTTTAATAGGTCAATCTTGGTGCGTACTCAAATCCTGGTACCCAAATGGGGCCCAGAACCAAGATTTCGGCGCTAATTCTGAGACGGACTTAACTAGAGTTTAGTTTCGTCTGTGTCGCAAGCTATAAAATAGTAAACGCTCCTCTTCCTCGATATGCACCGCTCCTACTAAACTTGCCCGCAAGTCGACTGTTGTCAGCGAGGAAATCGAGAGAATGCGCCCAAAGTGTGAAAAAAATTTTCTCTCACTTCCTATGCTCCTACTCGCACTTTCTCGCTATACCTGACTGTGCTGCATTCTTCATCTCCAGTTTCAAAGTCTCGGATGCCTGGAATGTATTTGCTCCTTTCAATTCACATCTAATCCCCCTCTTGTTATTTATCTCGTCAATGTCTTCCTTGGTGACGTATGAAATGTATAGTCCACCATTCGGTGAGATTGCACGGCGCTTGTTTCTTGAGAATTCGATCCTCCTTAGACTTCCCACCCAGCTGAAGGCAGCACCGTAGCTTGGTGTGTGCGTAGGACACTTGAAACTAAACGGCTGTCCAAGATCGATCTTCTCCACCACACCACGAGAACTAGTAAACTTTCCTACAACTAGAAGAATCAAACAATTAGTTGATTATTTGCAGGGGAACACGTATTATACATACAGAGCGCGTAGGTGACTCGTGTGTGATGGAACCCCCAAGATAATATAGATGTAAGTTGTAGTTCCCTTTCGTCCCTGGTTCAAATTTTGTTTTCCTTTGGTTCAAACTTATTATCATACATAACCTCAAAGAATGTAAAATCAAAGAATGTAAAATTCAAACCAAGGCCACATATAAGACCACCATGCTTTCTGTTTGTATTCATTATTCTTTATTGTTATTAAGAATCGAGTAAAATACCAGGTTTGTGGATCATGACATAGTTAGCTTCTTAAAACTTATTCGCTGGATAGTGATTTATCCGGTGGAGAGCGCTATGCAACCGGAGCCTGACGTTTTCTAGCTGCTGGTCAGAAATAACGCAGTGGTGAAAGCACTAGGGTTGTGTGCCGCAACGCTGAAACTACGGAAAGCAAGGCGCAATCAGTTTTACTCAAGGTTTGCTTTTAAGCTTCTATTTCCGCAGTTCACATCGCTTTCATTCTCTGTTTCATTCCTTCCACGGGTTAAGATGAACTCAACAAATTAGCTTGCTCCCAATGTATGGGTCTTTATAGCTCAGTTCGTAGAGCACTGCAGCGCTAACGCAGAGACCATAGCTTCGAATCCCGTTGAAGTCCCGAAATGCTTTCTGGTTAAGTAACGGTCCAGATAAGAACGATAACAACAACGCAACGAACATGTTGGAATGCAAAAAAGGTGCTAACTTTTCTATTGTCCGTACTTACTTCTGATTGGCTTAAACAGCAAAAGTTAACAAAACTTCGTAAAGCAGTACATATATTCATCCTTACTTTCCAAACATCTTCCATATAACAAAATCTGGTGGGGAACATGAAAAATTGTAAACTTTTCTTGGCTATTGTTTTCAACTCTTGTGATCGGTCAAAATCTTTTAACACAAAAAAACACCCTTTCAAAGTGGAGTGTAAAAGCATTTTATTGCGTAAACGACCTTCATGTAGGTTTATGCATTCTCTGAGTAAGAATAAGAACATTCCTATGTGGGGAAAGCTCCGTTGCTGCATAACAAAAGAAATTGCTATCCACCTTACCCGGATCATTACTTAATTTGCAATTGCATAAATTGCAATTGCCAGTGCGACGATCATATCTTCATTTAAAGGTTTGCAATTTTACCTGTGACTGCAACTTGCACTCTCCTGCTAAAAACTTCAATGCCTGTTGTCTGGTCTCTCACGAGACACTGATACGTTCCGCTGTGTTCAGTTGACAGGTAATTTCCTTTTAAAGTGCCATCTTCGCTCAGCAAATAAGGAATTCCACGTGTTTTAGCGATTATAGTTCCATTGTGCTTCCAAGTCCATGTCAGATTTGAGCCAGACGCCGCGCATGGAAGTTTAAATCCGCCACGCTTTTCAAACTTAACTTCATTACGATGGACTAGATCTTCTGAAAGGAAGCGAGTGAGGATCGGTGGTTGACGAACTGAAAAAATATATTCCGGAAGAAGAGTGAATAAAACGTCACCTTAAAGACAGATTTTCAAAGGTCCTTTTTCACATATCCATGGTTGTTTTGAGTACTCTTAAAAACCATTAGGTGGCCGTCTCATGGAGCTCCGCTTGGATACAATGGACGCCAGCGTGGACATACTTTATTATTCATTGTACTCACTTTATCGGTCTTCTCATTGACTTCTCTTGAAAACAAGCGAAACCTACAGATCATATGGTGCCCCATTCACACCAACTAGACAGGTTTAATTAAACAAGTTAAAAAAAAAACAGCCTGAAAAATGGCGATTGACCAGCACCCATCCAGACCTCTTATTTCATTGGTCCCTATCAGGCCTGCACTACCTGTTGTTTTCAGGGATATGGGAATTATTATCTCACCATCCCTATTGTTTTCCAGGCCAATCAAAACCTTGTTTGGAATAGGCCTTTTTCAACAATACCATAATATTCTTAGTTGTCCTTCCAAAAATTTTGCATAAGCATTGTTTTCAATTTCTCTTGGGACTTACAATCGCCCCAAGAGAAATTGAAATTAATGCTTACGCAAATTTTCGCAGAGACAACAAAAAGTATTATGGTATTTTTGAAAAAGGTCTTTAGGTGCAGGTCGGCCCAAAAATGGAACGCATGTTTTCACACAGGAATCAACTGAAATTCAACACGTTTGTAGTAAGCAGCTTTTATGATGGAAACAATTTTAAACCGTGTTAAACTGAACTTCTTTCAAACATGTTCAAGCTTTGTGTGTGAATGTGCCTGTGGTAAAAGATAATTGACTAACGCTGCGCGCGCGATGTATGATTTCGAAGTGTTGCGTGTGCTAGCCGTTTTTTTTTTTTTGAAAGAGTAGCTAAGAGTGTACAAATGTATAATAAAATAAATAATAGATTCAGTTTTTACAATATCCGGCAAAATCAAGGTTGAGGTAAGGATCATCAGCAGTTGCTGAGCGTTTGAACAATGTATTTAACTTGTGGAAGCGCGGGAAACTACTGTATAAGCAACTGTATTGAAAGAGAATGTGCCGATTGGCCTTAATTTGGAGTAACGCACAGCACCCTTTTGAATTACATCTCTAGAATAATCTCCTGTTCGCATCTTACCTTGGTTTGATTCTTGACTATAAAAGAGAAACAGGAAAACAAAAAGATCGCGCATTTCAAGAAGCAGGCCGCGCTAGATTTGCCATGCGTGACGTCATAATCATGGATTAACGCATTAATGGCGGCTATCCAATTAGAACAGTTCGTGATGAAAGGGAATGATGCTTGCTAATGAATCTGTGTTTTTCATATCACAACGTAATTCTAGGGATAGGTCGTTAACTAGGGTACAGAAATCATAGCTGTATTCCCAACTTCGTTGAAAACTCAAAAATTTTAGTTTCTAGTCCCACGAATAAAATCTACCGCTAAAGCCTTCTTGCTAGCCTGCGAGAGCATCCCGTCTTTTCGGCTTAGGGAGAGAAGCGACGACCGGAAATACGTCTGCGGTTCGCAGGTTACCTTCTTGCAATTCGGTAAAATAAATTACGTTGTTTATACACCTTTATAGTTTTCTGTTAGTTTACTTCGAAACACACTGATTTTTTGGCTACGCATGCTATTTACTAGCTTTATATTAGAGACAAGCTCATAATCGACAAAGTAGCCTGCGAAGCTGACAGGATTAGCGAGAGTGCTGTAGTTTATGGGCGGCGAAGACGTGTGAAGATTGGGATTTTCCCTCGCGGTTTCGCCGCTCCAGGCACCAAGAAAGTACCCGCGTACAAGAATCCCGCCAGCTACGCAGGCTATCGACAAAACGGTTCAAGCTCTAAAAACGACAACGCAGAACCATTCTGCGACTAACGTTTCTTCTGTAAGGAACAAATGGTTACCAGCTGGAAATAATTTTTTTAAAAAAACACCAAGAGGGCCGAGGAAATTTCTTGTCCGAAATGTCAGAGTTAATAGAAAGTGCAAAGGCTTTTAAGTCCATGAAAAACTCTCGTACTCAAGAAAACAAAGGGACTGGAAATAATCACTACAGATATATAAACAGTAAATCAAATCTGAATTTATTACACTTTATGGTTTCGCTACTTTTTTGGGGTTTAATCAGGTAAAAATCGAACCTGTGTTCAGGATTAATAATACAGAAACAAATTTTCTACCGCGTTTGACTGTTGTTCAAATAAGCAGTTATGTAGAAAGCAAAATGCAGCTTAACGTTTACTATTATGTATCATCTTCTTGAAATTAGTACAATCCAAATCCCATTTTTTTTCTTTTTTTTACGCACAAATCAAATATAACGTAGTGTACAGCAGACAGATTTAGTTAAGGTATTACACTGTATGCCAATGTTTCTTTTTTGTAAGCATTCTTTTGAATACTCTGTACTGATCATCAAATCTGCAAATGAATATAAAAAAAACGTCAGTAACCAAACGGATTGTTATACTTTACTTGGAAATTCAACTGCTGAAAAGCATGATTTTACAGACCTGTGACTTTCCAGACGGGTTCAATATAAACCGACCTCGCCTATTAAACTGCAACAGTCAACAAACATCATAGTTAAGCACAGCATTCACGATCGACTTTTATAACGTAAAATCACAGAGCTGTATGCCAAGTAACACATCATTCCACTTCACATACATACCATTGTTCATCCTCCAAGAGACTTACGAACTTGTCGACTCGATCACGTTTATTGGTCTGAAAGAAATTGACCCCAAGCACTTGTTTTTATATAACCAATCATGGAAAAGTGGAATTACTTTGTAAAATAAAATGGGGGAAAATATCACGACATACTTTCAAAAATACTTTCATCTAAATGATCACATTTTAGGTTTTCATCAGATCTAAGGCATAACAAGTAGCGCCACGGGAAGGTGGTGCTCCGCAGGTTTCCCTTTAATGGCAATTCTGACCATCCACGGAACCTAAAGGTCTTTCCCCCCATTGACTCAACATCGCACGATTAAATTTAGCCCCGACAGTGCTGTAAACATTTCACAGCGAGGTCTGCATCAGAGCTCGGTTGTTGTAATTAATGGCATATTAATCGGAATGGCATCTTTGCTTTAAGGTGACTCGACCCAGTTTTATTGGGGGTGTACCGTCCTACTTTGAAGCTCTCTGGTATCCCCACCTTTACTTTTATCGTAAGTCTAACACATAGAATGGATAACATATAGATCAATCTACAATATAACATAAAATTTTTGGCGATCGGAGTAAATGTCACGTGGTTGTAATGCCACGCCCCTTTGAGGTCTGAGTCGAAAATCCGCTGTTGCCGGCATTTTTTCGTGAAAATCTCTCGGCTACATATAGTGCGCATTAGTGCCTTGCGCTGAACAGAGTTTCACCAAAATCGCAAAGACCCAATTCGAGAAATTCAGCGGTTTCCAAATTTAGGTCCAATCGCCAAAAAAATTTTTGTTATATTGTAGATTGATCTATGTGTTATCCATTCTGTGTGTTAGACTTACGATAAAAGTAAAGGTGGGGATACCAGAGAGCTTCAAAGTAGGATGGTACCCCCCCAAAAAACTGGGTCGAGTCACCTTAAAGGCGGCCATCTTGGTTTCAAATCTACAGAGGGGGCGGGTGTTGGGGCTTGCAGCGGTAAGGGGTGGGGGGGGGAGCATTCCAGCTTTTATTGAAGGATCACACGGAAAACACGGAAAACTAAAATTTTGAAGTTAAAAGCTATTAAGAAAGGGCCTTCATTAAGATTCACTTACTTGGACCGCCATCTCTGCCATCATAAGGAGCTTTTTAATGCCGACAAACAACCTACAAAGGAAAGAGTATTAAAATAAAAAAATCTTTAACTAAAGAAAGGTAACAAATGCCAACTGGCCTAATTTCACTTGGGAGAGGAGCGAGAAGGGAGTCCGAGATCGCGTCAAATGAAGAAAAAAATTGCGCGCAAAACTCTACGTTCCATGTGACATACCTTCGTTGGCCAATGCTGTCCTCAATTAGTTTGATTTCGTGTTCATCAAACAACTTCACCTCCTGCAAAGGACATAGAGTTGACTTAGTTGTTTGCGTTTGTCTCAGCGAAATACGCCGCAGTCAAAGCAGTTCAAAGAACACCAGAATGGGTTTCGAACAGCTCCATGCCTCCAAAATCGTGCAAATCCAAAACAGAAAACAAAGGCAAAGCAAAAACAAACATCAGAAAAACAAGCACTTGTTGATTGCGAACAGCAGATAAAAACATGCCAAACGCTGTCAAAGAAGTTTCATTTGAGTAGTCCCAAAACAGGATTTTGTTAACAGTCTAAACAGTTAAGAGAATATGGTGTTACGTTTCCATGGTTGTCTCTTGTAGAAGACGGGAAAAAAAAAGCGAAAAGTATCAAAAACGAGGAAAGAAACGAAGATTAAAACATTCTGAAAACTTAGCAAACTTACAAGAGTTTCTGAGCTTCAAGCAGTTGTTTCAGTTAGTCATCCCAGAAAACACATCCTATTTTTTCTTACCAAGAGCTAGCCTTGACGAAATTTGCAGTCGTACTCATTTCACCACGTGCTACAAAGCGCACGTTTGCCGTTTGCTTTATATAATAGGGACTTTAAGATCCAACGAAGTGGACGGCAAGGAGAACGTAAAAAAACAATTGGTTTAATAAGCCCGAAAAACAACTTCGCACGTGCATCACGCTTTTTTGAACAATTTTTTTTTCTGTTTTTGCACGACCACAACGTGAAAATGCCTAATTTTGCGTTTTATGGAGGACGTAAACAGGCAACGACGAATTTTTTTTTCTCTTTCTGAGCTTCGATATGGTCCCCTGAAATTCAGCTTCAGGACGGTTCGCCTACTTTTGACAAAGTAAGTGGGTAGGAATAATCGCTATAAAGACTGAAGGAACGCAAATTCACCTTTTAAGGGACGTTCTCGTTGCCGTCTTGTCGTTGGATCTTAAAGTCCGTAACGAGTCTTTAATCTTGATTTTAAACTAACTGACCTGGAGCACTTGTCTAAGATGTTCTACGACGGACAAACGCGGAACATGAATGACAGTGTTAAATGCCTGCACTATTCCCATGGGTTCAAGCACGTCACGGCAGCTAGTTGTACCAATAACGATCAACTTGCGACCCTATAAGGTTAAAAGAAAGCGTTAAAGTTCGAATGCTTGATCCTATTTCAAACCAAAACAGCTGAATTTCCCTGCCCTATTTCAGACCTCAGAATCACTTTACCCACCCCCCAAAAAATTAAAAAAACAACAACAATTCCAGAATCTCTCACTCGTTCGCTTCGCTCACTCGTATACTTTCAGCACGAGAAGATAAAATTCGTATCCCCGCGCGGCCATGCAATATCCTCTATAATCAATCTGATTCGGAATCTCTTAAATAATCCTTCTCCAGGGTAAGGTTGACTTAAGAAGGATCACATGAAGTTGACAAACCTTTCTAAGCTTCTTCTTTAGCAACACAAGTAACGCCTGTAGAACTGCGTTAGAAAATCTTGGTCCAATGGCCACATAATCTGAGAAAAAAAGTAAAGGAATAAATAATTAAATATGTGTGCGTGAGAGGCTGTTTCCACCCTGTTGGTATGTCGTGTTTTGCTCTATTTATTTTTTTCTTATTAATTTATCTCTTTTATTTTTATGTTTACACTAACGTGGATAACAGAGAAAGAGCTAGAGCGAGTTATTGAAAACAAACGAGACGAATTTCATAGGAAGAAAAACATGGAAATTCAAAGCGGCGGTGAGAAAATGAGAAATGCTAGCGGCCAGCAAGGTGAAAATGAGCGGCAGTGAAAAATAAAAGCGAACATGAAAAACAGGAAACAAAATTTTGGGTGAGCACACATGACAATTCCTCCATAAAAATAATGTGTAACTAGGAAGTTTGACGTTTTAGTCGTACAAAACAGCGTTGTAGTCGTGCAAAACAACGGCAAAGGGAAGACAAAAAAGCGTGCTACGTGCAAATTTGCTTTTTGCTAATTAGAGGAAAAAGTGTGCTGTACGTGCAATTTGTTTTTTTTTTTTGCTAATTAGACCTATTAGGGCCTGTTTACATGGAGTGGGGGACCCCGGTCTAGCGGGGTTGGTTTCTTTTGTTTTCACGCTCTGGCGGACACAAAACAAAAGAAACCTACCTCACTAGACCGGGGTCCCCCACTCCATGTAAACAGAGTCTTAGTCTTGAAGCCATGTTTTGTCGTCCCCGTTTAGCATTACACGATTTAATTTTTTTTGTTTACACGTATTATTAAGGCTGCGTGCAAACGGACGCAACATTGTTGGCCACCAACTCCCAACATTGTTGCATGTTACATGTTGCGTCCGTTTGCACACCCTGTTGCATGTTGTTGGATGTTGTTGCGGGTTGTTGCGCAAAGTTTGAAACCGGTCAAACTTTTAGCCCCGTGCAAACGGACGCAACATCGTTGGGAGTTGTTGCGCCCCATTGCACGTAGCCTAACCAGAGCTTCGCTTTTAGCCCTGGCTAAATCTATATATTAATTATTTCAGTCTTTTTGATTGTTTGTCTCTTTTCTTTTGCCGTTTTTGAGGGAAAAGGGGGGAAGCTGCAATTCCGAACAAATCTACTTGAGAAAGTTTTCCCCATCATGTCCACTTTCCTACGCAACAAAACTATTTCCAAAACGACGCCTTTGCGGGAAGAACACCCCTTCCCCCGATTCAATGTTGCTTCCCACAAACGCCCAGGGATCAGGCTTTCTTTTGAATACACAACAACATTGCTTTCAGGAGAAGGGGGAGAGGGAAGAACCGGTACAGCTACGACTTTTAGAAAAATGCTGTCCAAGTATACAATTTTCTCAACAGTTTTGTCCAAGATTGTGGTTGGTGATCCAGCTCCTTTTCGGTGGACAAATTTCTAAGACAAAAAGCGAACAGCCACAGTTTGAATTTTCCTTCAGGATAATACAAAGTATCTATGGCCTGGGCTACATTGTAACTAAAACAAAATACAACATCTTTCTTCCATGAACGTAAACTGGCACTATTAACCATTCACCGACCAATTTTCATTTCTCTCTTTTACTCTATTTATTTTATTTACTTAATATGTTTATTTATTTCGCGCCTTTTCTGCATTGTTTGCAACTCGCTCTGACAAAATGTCGGACTCCTGCGTTTTAAAGAGTAAAGAGAAAACACGTTCCTACAACTTGGATTGACAACAGAAGGAGACCGTCTTAAAACAGCCCCTCTAATAACAGCGCAAAAAGACAACATTTACAGTCAAAGAAACATCTTTACTTAAATTCCCACAGAATACTGCAGTGGCCATACCTAGAAGACGCTCGATATCGTCAACAATGATACAGCTGAGTTCAGACTTGTCTGCATCGTCAAATATCTGTTCAAAAGCAAAGCAGAGCAACAATTTAACTCTTATTTATTTATTTTAAATTCCAGCATCTCACGTTAGTGATGACACCGGTTTATTACGTCTCCTACCGGAGAGGAGACCAAGGCAACATTTTAACGTGGACATAAGAGCCACGTGAACGTCAAGCCAATAGGACATTTCCGAGTTCCCCCGGGCCTCTGTTTCAAAACGAGGGTAGGTGCTCAGCCTTTGATATGCAAATCATTTTTCATTCTCACGCAATAAAACTCATTTTCACAAGAAAGGTTGTGCACCTAGCCTCATTTTGAAAGTGAGGGTTTTTGGAACTCGGTAGTGGCCTATTACAGGGCACAGGCACTACCTTCTTCCCTTGTTATTGGAGACTTAAAGATTAGAGGAGAAGATTTAACCTGACGTTTGTTCGCGTATTCTCAAAAATAGACACTCCGTAAAGCTTCATTTTCGTTTTTTTAATTCGACAAAAAAGCTAACACGGTTATTTTTATTGAAGAAGATTAAGCCCTCTCCCGATAGCAAAATAGAACGTGTTAATTTAATAACTTGTCTCGATCATTCTCGCTAAAACTCGTTGTAGAATGATGAGGGCTACCGCGTTTTCCCACCAAAGACGTTGGCTCACGCGCGCACTACTTAGTATTGAGAATCAAAAGGTCTCTATTTTAACCCCTTTAAACCCTAAGATCAAAGTTTGAATTCTCATTTGTTGCCCTATTCATTTCCTACAGAAGTAGTTGGGAGAAGTTGATAAAGTATCAAGAAAATTCATATTGAATGATCATGTCCGTAATTCTCATGACCACTCTGTTTTACAAAGCATTGATATTACAAGGAGAAATTTGTATGTAAGTTTTGATCCAGTTCAAGTTAATTCAATTCTTAAATACACGACCCCACAAGCTTTTATAGCTTTAAAAATCACCGTGTTTAAATGAAGATTATGTATGTATGTGTGTATGCTGATCACTCTTAGGGCTTAAAGGGTTAAGAACCTGGGCCGGGTTGTTCGAAGCTGGGTTAAGGTAACCCAGGGTTCGTGCGAAATTTGAACTCAGATATGGGAGCTTAAAAAGCAGAATCAGTTAAATTCTCTTTGCCTACAATTTGGACACTGTTTATCCGGCTTTTCAGTAGGAAAACGGCCCCGGGTTACCTGAGTACTGGTTAGGTTCCGAGAATCGAACCCGCGATCCTGCTGTTTATATACGGGCTCTACCAAGGGCTAAATCACCACGGTTAAATAGACGGCAATAAACTCACCTTTTTAATGGTTTGACATTTCGCACTCTCAATAAATCCAATCATGTTTTCCGGTGTGCACATCTTGATGAACGGGAAGTCTGACATGAGCGCCATCTGTACAGCCAGTGCTGTTTTGCCGCAGCCCACAGGGCCTAAAACCAACAAAAGACAACACAATGAAAAGTTTCGATAACTTGCCTTCTGTTAGGCTGTGAGCAAGCTCCCTTGACGATCTCTGGGGTCGACTTAGCCTGCGCCACAAACGAAAATTAACTCTGGTGAAGCTAAGTCTGCAAAACAGCGCCGAAATTCTTTTTTGGGCCCCCACATGCATTTCAGTACGTGCCATAATTGGCCCGCTAAAAAAGTCATTCACGATTTTTGCCAATCAGAATTAAAGGAAATTCAAAACGCATTTCCAGTAATTCATTTAGTCAGTTTGGGGCCAATCAGAATTAAAAGAAATTCAAAACGCATTTCCGGCAATTCATTTAGTCCGTTTGAGGCCAATCAGAATTAAAAGAAATTCAAAACGCATTTCCGGTAATTCATTTAGTCAGTTTGGGGCCAATCAGAATTTAAAGAAATTCAAAACGCACTTCCGGCAATTCATTTAGTCCGTTTGAGGCCAATCAGAATTAAAAGAAATTCAAAACGCATTTCCGGTGATTCGTTTCGTCCGTTAGGGCCCCAGAACAAGAATATCGGCTCTGCCTCTCTGACGTTACTAACCGGGGTTAAATTACGTCGCCACTCGGCGAGCGGGCGTTTGTTGCCGTTCTCTTCAATGTCCACCCATTACCCTTAAACCCTGATGCAGGTAAGAAAGTCAGTTCAAATCCGCTTTACCCTTGAAATCAATGATTAACTGATAGATGGGCCTCCCTTCTTGAAGACAAATAATCGCCCAAAATACATGTAACATGATGTAAGCTCTCTCAGTAAGAACAAAATCCACCTTTGTCGCCCTTATTCTTGACAGTTATTGCTATAGTGTCTACTGCAATCATGATGATTGCTTAAAATCCGAATTCAGGCTTTCGTTGCATGGGCTGGTAAGAGCAAAATCTGTCGGACAACCTCGTCTTGGCCCCCCTTGTCGCCATTTTCACCTCAATCAATAAAAAAGCTGATACCAACCTTCAAGTAACACTGTTATTGGTGAAGTAATGTCTTGCGCTCTTGTCTGCTGTAATAATAACCTGCCATCATCTAAAATCCTTTGTATTTCGTTTCCCCAGCGAACAATTCCTGAAAATCCAAGAACAGGACTGATTAAGCAGAAATCTAGCAACCCGAACTTCATCGCACTGATTAATGGGGTGAGAAAGCAGCCGACATTTCGCGACGGTTTTCCCGCCAAATGACGTCTGCGTAACGACTGCAGAAATTCCATACTCTGACGTGTCATCACCTGGATATGAGTAGTGCTGTAGAAGCAAATTTCTCTAGCGGCACGATCAAAATCAAAAGCACTACCTAGATCTGGGTAATGACACGTCATCAGTATGGAATTTCTGAGCTCGCTTCTCAGACGTCATTTCGCGGGGAAACCAGAGGTGACGTTGCCAAATGTCGGCTGTTTTCTCAGGACCAGAGGCATTCCCAGGGCACCTTTATCCATGTCTTCAGCAAGCTAAGTGATGAAACGGCCTGGCGGAATGACATTAGCCTCCCTCATTAACTGCGTATGTAGCCCAGCTTAATGGATATCTCGTGGAGAACCTTTTTATATCGTAATCCTTGCACATCCTTTAAATCGCGGATTTTTTTTTATCTTGTTCCATGATTTGATCAGTTAGCGACAAAATCACAACGCATAAGTATCCGATATAAAACATATCCTAAGATAAATAAGCAAACAACGGCGCGTATAAATGTAACAAAATCATTCTTTAGACGTTTCAGGCACGTACCACTGTAGAAAACATGATATAGTTATAGACCCCACTCCGCCCTCCCCCCCCGCCCCCTCCCCCCCCCCCACATCAAACTCCACCCCCCACCACAAGGCACACCTTCACCACTCACCATTTGCAACATACAGGTCCAGATTGTCATCAGCAGGTCCAAACGCCTAAAGCAAAAGAAAGAGGAAACGGCTTAAAGGACAGAAGAATTTGGATTGTATGAAACAGTGACAAATAGATTTGGATTGAGCGATTTTTTACGAACACAAAATTGAGCGGAACATTTTCCTATGTTTTTTTGTTTTTTTTTTTGTTTTTTTTGCAACTAGGGGTACGAAAGCATGTAAAATGTAATATGTGGTAAGCCATAAAAGTAAATATGACGAATGACGAATGGAATACGCACAAGTAGGAAAAAATCATCATCATCATCATCAAAGTACAACCGCCCTTTTACAGAGCGAAATGACGCGCACTGTTCAGTTACCCTTGCATGACTTGTTACGTTAAAAAGCCAATCACATTTGAGGATTTTCCTTTGCCTTTTGCAGGAAAAAGAAAGCTTGCTTTACTTACCGGTTTGATGTCGTGCTCCAGGGCGTGATAGAAGTCCTCACGTCTTATTAAAATTTTCTCCACAGCTTCCGGATCAATTTCGAAATTGTTTTTAAGCTGATAAAACCAAAACAGAAAAATTGAAATACAGTCTACTCTCTCTTAACGGACACCTCTATAAGATGGACACCTCTGTAAAACGGACACTCAGAGTTGGTCCCTGCCTTTCTTTACTTCTTTTATTTGACTCTCTATAAGACGGACATCTCTCTAAGACGGACACATACTGCAGGTTCCCATGGCGTCCGTCTCAGAAAGAGTTGACTTTACCGTGTTGGCTGTGGCATCGAACTTTGTTTTTTTTTTTTTACCCTTTTAGGCCCAGAAGTGTACGTGAATATCTGGGGCTTAAAGAGTCAAAAAGGTAGAGGTTGGAATATTAATCACATTTGTTACCATTGCCATGATCCTTGAAGTCCAAAACTATTCCCCAAAACTACTTGACCACATGTTTCCCCGCACGACTCTTAACATTCCTCCCTTGGTAAACTATATGAAGAATAAGTGCACGCTTTCAAACAAAAAGTTTCTCGGGTAGCTTGCTTGATTGATTTTTTCTTGAGTCAAATTCGTTAGGTCGTAGTCAGCAAATCAGTGCACTCTCCTTTTACTGTACCTGGATAAAGCGATTCATAGCTGTGGACTGCGCTGCGCGAACAAGTCCTTCAATCTCAGCGCCGGTAAAGTTCTTAGTCTGCACAGCCAAATCAGCCAGGTCGACATCTGGTGCAAGAAGATTATTTTCTCTCATCTTAGCTGTGTGTATCTCCAGGATTTGAACTCGTCCAGCCTCGTCTGGCAAACCTGCTCAACAAACAGCGTTATAAAAACACGGCGAAACAACACCTCGCTCACTACAAAGAATATGCCCTGTCGATCCTCTATTTCAAAAAGGAATTTTACACATTGGCCAGACAAACAAAAATGTGTGCAATCTCGTATTTTTCCAACAGCAATACATACTACTGCATAAAAACAGAGAGAAAACCTATGCAACTTTTAAATAAATGATAGAACGCCCGCAAACAAACACAAACATTTTCATATTCACTAACTATAATCGGCTTTTAGGCCTATAAAGAACTCATTATGCAGTAAAATCAGGGATGAATTTTTAGGTTTCTGGGAAACTGCCCACATACCCCTTGCCTAAGCCAACATTATCACTCACTTCTCACTTAAGGCAAAATGTTGGCTTAGGGGAGGGGTAGGTAGACAGTTTCCCAGAAACCTTAAATTGATCCAAAATCAGTGCACGCAATAAAGAAATACGTCTTCACGGACTCTTTTTGCGGCAGCTGGCATAATTCGTTAGCATACGTAACGTATACTATCAGTAGTATGCAATGCTACATGCAAGGCGAATTTAATTTTTGCGTGATCTTACTAAGTTAACCATGACAAGAGAGCCAATAGAGAGGGGTAGTGAGAGGGCACGTTACCGTGGGTAGTAAGTACCGTGGGTAGCAAGATTGCTGGATCTCAACAACCTTTCTTGACAGAGACGGCCATTTGCATTGCTGGAAGAAAAGCATGGGCTACCGTTTTGTTTCTAAGTGCATGCAGCAATCATGCACAATAAAGTCATGCAGTCATGTCAATTTTTTTCTGCCATATTTGCAGGACCACTGTTTTTGTTGAGATCCGGAAATTTTGCTACCATAGAAACGTGACGTAACGACTTCTTCTCTCTATTAAAAATTATGCAGAATCTCACCGATTTCAACTTGCACTTCCAGTCGACCAGGTCGAAGCAGGGCATCATCAATAAGATCCCTCCTGTTTGTCATACCTTGAAGTAAAAGCAAAAGCATCGATCATTTTACGTTCCTGTGAAACTGCCCACCTACCCCTTCTCTAAACCAACTTTAACACTTAGTTCTTACTTACGGCAAAATGTTGGCTTAGGGGAGGGGTAGGTGGGCAGCTTCCCCGAAACGTAAAATGATCCAAACCATCTTGTAAAGCACGTGCCAGAACTTGAGTTTCAAGCCGCCTTAAAATGGATTTGGCCAACAAAATCCAGCTTTCAGCAAATTCCATTTCAAACAAACGGACTTGTCACCTCTTGACTTTCTCAAACACTTTCAAGACCCGGAAATGGGTTCTCAAAATTAAAGGCTTTGCACGGGTTCTTTTAGTCTCGTGGACAGCCATTTTTTCTTTCTATAGTGGAGAGGAGCGTTGCGTAACGACACAATAGGGAGCTTAAGTAACGACGACGACAACGACAACGGCAAAAAAGCAATAGGTTTAGATTGGCAAAACAATAACTTTGCACGTGCATCACGCTTTTTTGTACATTTCTGAGCCGTCGTTGCACGACTACGACGTGAAAGTGCCTAATCTCACGTTTTTTTGAGCACGGGAACACAAGACGACACAGTCCCTTAGAATTCACCTCCAAATAAAGTGGCCAACATTTGACGAATTAAACCAGATGGAACAAGCGCGATAAAGTTTGGGGCAGCGCGAATTCACTTTTTAAATGACGTTTTTGTATCCGTCGCCGTCGTAGTTGCTTAAGCTCCCCAACAGAGGCTGCGAGGGAGACTAGGCTTTTCAATACACACACAAATTTTCCATTCAATTTTCAGCACTTCCTATTTTCTGGCCAGTCACTATGAGGAAATTCAAATGTTTAGAACTAATTTGGTAACGGAAAGTAACAATGGGACCTCCTGTTCTTGTTCTAAACTTTTTAAAAGGCCTTTTTGGAACATATCCCATCCTACAGTGTGTAACAAGTTGTCCCGGGTATCTGAATTTGGGAATCGCCGTAGACTATTACATCAATAATTTCAATTACGCGAGTCGTCAACCAGTTCTTACCAATCAGAAGCACGTTATTGAGTTGCTCCACACCATCGATCTAAAGAGACGTTAAATAATAAAGCTAAAGCATGTCCTACCAACACCAAATCAAACTAACTCGGTGAAACAATTTTGAATCTACAGTGGAACCTCGACATAAAAAAGGGCCAAGGCACTGGCAAAATTTATTCGCTATATCAAGGTTTTTTTCATATATTTTACCGAGGTTCCACTTTACAGATTTGCAGAACACTCAGGCCCCGTCCACTTATACGAATTCGGATAAAAAGGAATCAGCTTTCTGTCCACACGAAATCAGTAAATCTGATCACCAAAACCACATCTTTTCGGACTTCTCTCCGGAGTGGTTTAAGGCTCCGTCCTGACACGACATCCCGTAAAAAGATAAGCCGTGTCAAAAATTTCCGTTTTCGTGTGGACAAAACTCAATGCTATATGAGCCGCAATGTTTCCGGTAGTTACACTAAACAATATGGTGAATAGGTCGAAGAAGTTCGGAAAGCAAACATAACTTGCAACCCGGCCATGGTGCAGTTTAGGCCTACACCACAGAAAACAAATTCCTTAGTTAATGATTTTACCTTAGCCAGAAGTTGATTGACAACTGAGTCTTGAACGCCTGTTCCGCCACTCTACAATAAAAAGAGAGAGAGAGAGAGAGATAAGTTACTACAGTATAAGGCTCACGGCTCATAAACAACAGTGACGGGTAGTTCTTAACACTGAAACTGCAAAATTTAATGGTATTAAAATTATTCAGTACATGTACAAGTACAGGTACATACATTATACATGTATCTTGACTTGCACACCGCATCAAACTCGTCAAAGATGATGAGATGGAGGCCGCTGTTATCACCGAACTGAAAAATCAAAGGAAAGAATAAAAGCACTATGACTGAGAGAAAACAACAACAAAAATTCAGATAGTAGGAATGACGCGTTGAAAGAATGTGAAAGAAAGACACGCGAAAATAGAAGCGAGTAATCTGGGAAAAGGTGGCGGAGGCGGAAAAAGGAAGTCCGCCGACCTTCCTCTCCCCAGTTCCCTCCCGTTTTACATTCGTGTTCGCGCATCCTAAATTTCACGTACCCGACGCCTGGAACAGGCTACAAGAAGAAAAGAACATTTTCTTCATAAAATGTCAGATACCAATGCCGTCATCGTTGTTACGAGTACAGATTTCGATATATTTTGTTATCTAGCTGAAATATTTTTTCCCTAACAACACGCTCTCTCACTGGTTATTTCGTGGTCACATGTCATCTAACATTCCCCAACCTTGAGACTACGAGTTTTAAAATTACAGTATACATTTTCCCGGAGCAAACAAACCTTTCTCTGCTCTTCTTCTGCTTCAGCAAATAACTTTCTAAAATGAAGAATGATAAAAAAGGGTCAACTTTACGCACGACGTTCTCAAGATATTGTTCTAGTAATCACGACAATCACAGTTGAGGAACAAAGGGAGATAAAAGATATTAATTATCAGCGGCAAAGAGTACCTGAAAAGAAGATTATTTAAAGCAAGAAGCTTCCTTCACGACAGAGCATATCCCATCTACGTACAAACGCTTTAAACCTTTTTTTAATAAACCAGTAAAACAATAGGTCACTTCCGAATTCCAAAAACCCTCACTTTCAAAATGAGGCCAACTGCACATCATTTCTTGTGAAAATGAGTTTCATTTGCATAAGAATGTAGAATAATTTCCCTATCAAAGGCTGAACACTCAACCTCGTTTTGATACAGAAGGGAAAAATCGGAGGGAAATCGGAAATGGCCTATTAGTTATTACTCGTATGTCGGCCAACCTGATATTTGCTTCGGACTCTCCAACATATTTATTCAGCACCTCTGAAAAAAAAAAACGTACAGCTGTATTAGGATTTTCAAGAACAATGAACAGAGCGAACATCAAATGGGTCAAAATAAATTCCAGGACTTATAAGGCATAGATGAATTACATTGTAAGATTACTACATAACATTAATACTGACATTGTTATCTTTTGACAGCTTGTGTAGCAAGCATTTCCGACCAAATCGGTATTGCCCAAAAGTTTCGCTCTCGTTCCAACTTTCGAAACGAACTTGTGCAGAAACGCTTGCTAAGTATACGCAGGTAATATTTTGATTAAAGTCAGTACCTGGTCCACTGATAATTTTGGGTTCTCTTGTGTTTAACATCTTTCCAATTTGTCGAGCCATCAACGTCTTACCAGTACCTGAAAAAAACAATACCTTTCAACTTTTCACTCCTAGAACACGTTATGGAGAGCCTTTTTTCACTCTACCTTGTAAATCTGTGGACAAAATCCCGAGCTACCTTTAAAATGAAATCTTTTTGGCAGAGCTCTTGCGTGGCACCATTAATTTTATTTTCTTTCTTCTGATTTTATAAAAGGAAATGTGAACTTTCTAGCAAACGTTTTCTTTGGTCCAGTTTTCAAGGCTTCATTTCCCTAACAGTGTTCTTTCCATAATGTTAATGTTGTTGTCATTGTTGCTGCTGCTTTTTTTTGTTCTTGCTGTTATTTTTTGAGATAAAGTAGGTTAAAGTAGCAATAAATCATCACGTCTTGGAGCTACAAGTTAATCTTTTTTCTGCAACATCCACCCTGGTTACACACATTGCCTCCAGGGAGTTGAATTTTTGAAAATGTGGTGCCGCAACCCGCACAGTTACAATTCCATCATACCTGGAGGACCATACAAAAGAATTCCTTTCACATGCCTCAGACCTATGAGGTAATAAACATATTCACGGTTACTTGTGTTAACTGATTTTGCATCAGAGCTGTGCTCACAGGTCCTTGTGATGTTCATTTATAATTAGAACTGATTAACATTCTAGTCAGTGGCTGAAAAAGGGCACTACACAATGACCAGGTTAGCATGTCACCAATCACTCATGGATAATACATGAAAATTCTGCACTGCTTTACAGGGTTAGGGTACCCTGGAAGACCAGAGATATTCACTTGAGATCAGTCAGCTTGCCCTAAATGTAAGGGAATCCAAGACAGTCTTGGATTAAGCATTCCACGTTGTAGATTCCGGATTCCAAAAACCAGGATTCCGGATTCCACAAGCAAAAATTCTCAGATTCCAGAATCCGGATTCCCTCTCGAGTCAGCCTTTAATGGTTTCAACAACATGTAGTTGGTCTTCAAAATTAGAATCATTATTTCTCCCACAAATCCTCACTATAATATTGTTACGTTTGACTTCTTTTGAAACTTGGAGTAGCCAGCTGAATTTACTGTAGTACCCCACAAAAAATACTGACTGCGGGCTAGTAGTGATACATGTGGCCCTGCCTTTAGAGAGTAATACAAAAAAAACACACCCAACCATGAGCCTCCAAACTGATTGAAGAAAAAAATGGATATTGAGCAGATAACAGACAAAACTGAAATGCTCCTATGCAACTAGAATGACTCACAGGAAAAAAAATTAATATACCTAGCTTGTCGACAACTTCTGGTGGAAAGAGACGTGTTGCAAAAGCTCTTCTTATGATGTTAGAGAATTCCTGGTTAAAACAGCATCAACAGAAACTGATATTAAATTCATTACAATAAAGGGCTGTCTGCAATAACACTGTTAGTTACTCCTGATGTAATGTCAAATTCTTGTTGTTTCAAAAGCAAATAACGAGGCAATTTATCAGAAGTTTGTGGGAGCTCTTTCCTGCACACATCTTCAAGATGATGGGCCCAGACTGTGAAAAAAAAAATACTGCTCAGCAGTTTAATAACCTTGTCAAGACCTCCAATTCCCAGCTTTGTGAAATCCCAATCTCTGCTTATGATGGACTGTGTCGCAGCTTTTCTAAAATTAAAAAAGACATAATAGTAATATTATGGCCAGCCTACCTGAACTGTAAGTTTAGGTGCTTATTAAACATTTGAACTGGCCAGCTTGACAGAATATTTTTCAAAAGAGAAATCCAATGTAGCCTTTTAGAATAGTTTTTGCCAAAAACCTTTTACTGCCAATTATACTACAGTCGAACCTCTGCTAAAAACCACCTCTTTACAAACAGCTACTTTTTTTTTTTGTCCCAGGGAATAAAAATCCATACATTGGCTCTTGTTTAAAAACTCTCAACAACTGCCACCTTTTTAAAATGGCCACTTTCTTCACGCATTTGTAGAGAGGTTCAACTATTTATTAGGAAAAGATAGTCTCTCTCACAACGTTTTTATTCTTGTCACGCAACAGAGTGCTCATTGTGTGACAAGACAAAAATGGCTGCGAAGGAGACTAAGGAATACAGTGATCTGGCTGGACATCAGTGAAATTCTCTTTACAAGTGGATTGGTCTGGACTGGTACATGTACATGATTGTAGACAAAGGCTGCTTTCCATTCAGCAAAAACTTCGTTTGAAATTTCAGAAATTCCATGTGCCAAATGGATCACCTGCATTCCTATTGTACAGTCCCAACCCAAGCCACTGCGCATTTGTTTATTGTACACAGTAATTGTCAGCAGGATACAGAAGACCATTACTGGGGACAAAAGTTTTGTCAAAATGAAAGGGACATTTTGGTCTGACCTGCCAAAATACCCAGACTAGTCAAATTGGACCACCTTCAAAGCTGACCTCAAATATTCTGGTCAGAATGAACTGATGGGTCTTTTCTGGCATTTTATTTCTATAAAACAACATTTGCGGAATTTTATGGAAAGTGAAATTAATAAGATGGAAAGTGACAAAAGTCACACCTTGGCTCTTCATGTCCATTTTAGTGTATCAGCTAACATCTTTACATCTTAAGTTGCCATACAGGTATAATATTTTTGGAACATTTCAGGGAAGCTTTAGAACTCAATTACCTAGTAGAGAAGAGTACATGTATACTACACTGTACTCACCCCTTTGCAGTACCAGTGAGATTAAGCACTGATCCCTGAAAAAGAGAGACAATAACGTGATTCAATTGAGAAGGAAAGGTTGCTACCCAGTTTGGTAGGTCTACAGTAATGCAAACATTTCTCACCACCATAAAAAAAAAAAAAACAAACAAAAATTACAGTAACAACCACCATTCAGAACATCATGTAAGATTTTGTGCATTGCCAACTGTGAATTGTTGTAAGTGATTACCTCTGCCCGTTCAAACAGAACTTGGGTATTTCTTGTTATCATTCCCATGGAAACCTACAGGAAAATAAGGAACCAAACAACAAAATACTGAGATGATAAGAAGAGAAAGAAAAGCACCAAAACAAAGTGATATTTATCAAAATACAACAGCACAAAATATTGAGCAGTGAGAGTAAAACTGGTAGCACACATACACCGTAACTGTGTAGGAAAGTTGTTAACCAAGTTAATACAGTGTAAATAACATTACAATAATTTAATGTAAAGGGCACTCTGATTGGTCAATTACTTTACTATTTACCCAAAGGTAAATACATGTAGGTGACGAAAACTAGTGGATGCACAGAGCAGACCTCCTGTGACAGTATAACTCAATGGTACATGTACAAGCTGAGCCATTAACCATCTGTTAATCACATTAAACCCCATTTAACTCATTGAGAGGTAAGAAGCAACAGTTTACATTTGTTCCTTGAGAGGGTTTTGCTTTTGCACCACCAAGAAGGCTGACATCAATAACTACAAAGTCATAGAAAGAAACAAAATAAAAGTATACAGTGTGGGTAAATTGTTCCTATCATCCTTTTTTTTCACGTAAATTAAAGTAATATAAAATTTCAGCTTTTTGACTGAGGACCACTTATACTAATGGCATCATTAAAATTTTGAAAGCAACAAAAGCAATAGAGTGACATCTACTCAATCTAATTATGTACAGCCTACAGGCAGTGTTTTAGAACATGACAAAAACATACAAATTTGTATCAGAAAAGTATCATTAATGGATATACATGTAGCTAAATTAAAATTCATGATAAAAAAAAACAAACAAACAAACATGTAGGTTTTAACCTTACAGTATATTAAAACAATATTTTCATTCTTCCATGATAACCAATAGAACATATTACACATATTTATTGATAATCCCATCACTTAATGTTTTCCATTAACAATAATTTATAATTCAAGATTTGCACAAAGCTAATTTACAATCTATCATTTATGTATAAATATTTACTACTACATGTGGTTTATTGTGTGACTAACCTTCCATGCTCTTTACTACAAACACAAGATACTTCTTGTCTTGGAAAGGAAACACAGCCTACCCCAAAAATAATTGAATAAAAGAACATTTGTGAGGTACATTTGTAAATGTCTTATTCTAAATCTCAGAGTAGCACAGTCCTTTGCATGCAACTGAGAATAGATTACATACAATGTAGATCCTCTGCCAATTCATGCTTGAAGACAAACTATTATTCCTCACACCAAGCAGAAACATTTGAGCAATAACTGCCTTAAATGACAATTTATTGGAAAATAAACATAAAATATTTTTAGCTTGAGCCAACAGGAGACTCGAAAACCTAGATGAATAACTGTGATTTAACTCATATCTCCAAGTTTAGAAACCCGTAAGGTTATTCAGAACTTTCTGGAATGCCGCTTTAGTTGCTTTTGAATGTGATAGGGTGTTAGAATATGAAAAAATCTACATGTGATGCTCTTACTTAAGAAAAAAGCTGCTAGCGCTGCAACTGTACCTGTTGCCCTACAGAAAAAGCTTGGTCCAGAAACTGATGCGTGAAATCTTCTGCCATCTTGTTTGTGTCATATGCATCATTGTTGCCCCTAAGATAAGATTATACCCATCAGTGTAATGGTAATTTATACAACACAAAGATAGAGAATCCAAAATGAAAAATATAGTTTGCTTAATTCTTTACAGTACCTGAAGCTAAGTAGGACGACCTGGATAAACAATAATTACATTCTAAAACCCCATGACTTCAATTTGTCATTAATAATTACGCACTGAGACTTCCATGATAAAAAAAAGTACTGATTCCTTAAGAGCAAAGCATTTTATAATGAGTCCCATTAATGAACTGCTTGACTTACTGAAAAATCTTTTCTTGACATACCTTGCTTTCTGCAGGAAGTCTGCTTCAACTGTCACGTTGGACAAGAATGATCCCTCTCCAAACCTAAAGGGAATAACTACAATACAACACAAAAAGTACACAACGTTAACTGGTGAATTTAAAGAGTGGAGAAGAATCTTGACATGTCAAGCTTTTTATCAAGTTCTGAAGACAACATTAAGTTTTTTTAATTTATCAAATGTGCAAATTTGCTAGTTTGAATCTGAATAAAAGCATAGACAAGCAACCATGGCTAAACTGGAATTGTCTGTCCTTATGGGTCAAATTAAAAAGATACATATTTAAAACATAAAAGAAACAGGCAAAATCTTCAGGTTTTCTGTTAATTCCTCAAATAAACTTACCATCCACGAAACTGTTCAACTGCACACCAGCCCATTTTCTCTAAAACAGAAAATTATACAATTTTTTTCTATTTCATGTATTTATTTCTATAATTAATAATTATTATTACTCAGGGTGCAAAGAAACTCATTTTTACAGCTTGCCATTTATCTGTCAGTTCTCTAGTATGAAATTTTTTGTGAGCAAATGAATGCCTAATTGCCATCGTGTAGGCTACCTTCCCATTCTGAGATGGCACACGGTAATCATTATGGCACTGTCCCTTTTCCACAAAATAAACAGGTCTGCTGTACTGGAATTTTAAGTACATGTACAGCACTGTCTTCGTTTTTTTTTTTAGCACATTCATACACTGATCTGCCCCACTGATACAAGGGATGTCAATCTGTTACCTGCACTAGGCTAAACCCAACTGATCCGTGTGGCATATCTTCAGATACTCTGATTGTAAAGACATAACCCTGTGGCGCATTGGTGCGAACTTCAACATGCCTGCAAAAAAGGTAAGCAGACAAATACAGCACTTTGGCCAGGTAAGAAACTTTACTTTCTGCAATCCAGTAGTTCAGCTTGCATGCAGTACTCAGTGTTTTTCACGAAGTGCACCTGATCAGCAATTACACATTCCCCACTCAGAATTAATATTCAAAAGTTTTGCCCTACCGTCATTGGAAAATACTATTGGAACGATCTCTCCCTTTCTATTCACAATAAATCATCGAAAATCCTGTTCAAAAAGGCACTTAAAAAATATTATCTTGCTCAATATTGACTTGAGTGCGTGTGTGTGAGAGAGCGTGCGTGTTTGTGTTTTAATGAATAACAAAACTACAAAAGAATAAAGTCAATCTTGTTAAAGGGCCATGATTAGTTTTACTATAATGTGCCCTTCTCCATTCTAATTTTCTTCTTTTATTATTATTATTATGTACACATAGTTTAAGCAACTTTGTACCAATTGATATTGTACAACCAATGTACTATTGATATTGTACAACTACTGTATTATTGTGCAACTAATGTATTATAGGATGGAGTAAAAATAAAATACAATACTCAGGGGGAAATACTTCTGCACAGACAACGTCTCATCAAGTTCTCCCATGCTCTATTACTACAGACTAAACTCTACAGATCTGGTGTAGCTCACAAATCATGAGGCATATTATCATGAATTTTGTGTTGTTTTGTTTTTTGCTCGTGTTTTTTATGTAGGCGAGCAGGCAATAATTAGTAAACTATTGCTCCTAAACTCCTGTTTTACAACAGAACCTCCATGTTATTAACGTTTCCCAAAAAATCCAGAGGAGCCAGTCACATTTAATTATCCTCTGTAATAAAAAAAACTGGATGTACTGACTCAAGTTTTTAAGCTGTAATTGAAAGCCACGAGTCGTTAAAAAATGACTGAAAATCGAAAATAAGCATCCGCCTTGAAATGAAGGAGTTTTGTACGTCTGTTACAAAATTAATTGCATTGCGTTACTAATCTACAATACCGTCCTTGCTTATGAAGTACAAATATAGAAGCTCTGGGGTATAAAAGAATATACTCAGCTCTGAACCTGAAGCGAAGAAAATCGTACGAAATTTTTCCTTAAAAAGTGCTTAGGTTGCGTTTTACCACTTTTCCTTTGAAAAATCGAATTTAGTTCCCTGTAGATTACCACTTGTCGCAAAGTAGCCACCCTATATAAATTTGGTAGAAATAAAGACAGAAATCATAATTCCCAGATTGTCTTCAATAATTACTCGCATTGCACCGTGTCTTAAACCATATTCAATTACGATTTGAATGGTAAAGTTCTAGACACGTCAGATCAACTTCAGCTTACATGTAGGTTCAAATGACTTACTTCACTCTCTCGGGGCTAAAATCGTTTTCATTGACAATTAAACAGTTCGTCAAAGACAATGCATCTGACGGGCACTTGGCTACTTTCATCTGTACCATAGTGGAGTTTGTTCAGAAGTTAAAATGCCCTCAATTTTACCAATTTTAACGAAACCGGAAGGCCGCCATTTTAGAAATCACAACTCGAACCCAGGCTGTCGGAGAAGCTAAAATATCCCGGCATCCCTCCCGCGCCAGGCCAACATCGTCTCCCGGGGTTTTTAAGGTGGCTCTATACAGTTTATCATTGCAAATACGCCAAGGCGAAATTAAATCTGGTCAAATCCTATTTGTAGACGCGATCACCTGTCAGGAATGTGACAGGCGATGAAAGAGCCCATGCTCGAAATAAATCCTCAAAATCACGGCCTTTTTTGACGTGTTAAGATGTGAGTATAACAGCGGTTTAGAAAAAACTTCACGGCTATATCAAATTTGTTGTTTAACACGTCAAAAAACATTTGAACAGAACTGAATTCGAAGACCTTGCAAAGAATGGCCTTTTGGTGCACACGCCATAGAACACGTAGGATACAGCACTCACGTTATTCGCTCACAATCTAGGCAATCAAAAAAATGATTTTTCTCAGTTGACCAAATCTCACCTTCGGCTTCGTCAATAAGAGATCTGGGCACGAGATTAACGGAAAAGAAATGTACAAAAAAGACTGCTTTTTCTTACTGGGATTATTTTTTGTGATTTTCAGAAAGTTCCGGACAAATCATTGACAATGTTTTTGCTTTTATTGAGTACGTGCAATGGCAATACATACATTATTTTTAAACAATAATACTACGATTTGTTCACCCTATGTAAAACCATTAAAACATTAATCGAATGATAGTAACATTCGATTACAATAACCTCTACGGTGAGTGATTGTTCTGATGATCGATCGGAAGTGAATACAAGTAACCACTCAAGACGAGGGGTAAATAATGCAGATCGATCGATTTTATTTCAATTTTTTATGGCAATTCAAATTTTTATAACATGTGTTGTAAAACTAGATTTCGTCTACTTTACGCATCAAATGTGAGGAACTTAATAGATTTTTAGCTGTTCACGGTCATTATAACATTGAAGTTGTGTCAAGTAGATGTATCTTGAAAACCTTTATCTTAGATTATAGTTAGTTAGTTTTTCTCAACAACCTAAATTTTTCTAGTTTCTCAGCCTGACGACATTTGATAGCGCGTGAACACACGACTGTTCTAAGAGCTAAGAGTTGTTTTCCAAAATTTGAAAGTTTCCAGCTGCAGTTGTTTCCCTATCTACCAATACATGATTGCTTAAAACTTTCTCTTTGCTTCCCTTACTTAGATTGATTTGAAGATCTCCTTTGCTTTTAAATCTTTCACAACTTTGAGAAGCTATTTCAGACAATGACTGACTTTTGATTGTAGTTTCTCTTCCTCTAATCGTCTGATCTAAGTTGGACACAATTAAATCTTCACTAAGAACTCTTTCCTTGTTTGCCGTAAATGAATTAGCGCCTGTCGGTACGATATTTTCTAACAGCATATTGTGAGAAAGAGACTCTTTATCTAACAATGAAGAGTTTGAAACAGCTTCCTTGTGTACCAACATTTGAGTGCTAGGAAAAATTTCTTCCTCTAGCGAAACCGCTCCAAAGCTTGAATTTCTTTCCTCCCGCTCCAGAAGTTGAGAGGATAAATTGTCTTGTTCGCCCTCTTTTTTAAATTCCTCATTTCTCTTTCTCTTCCTTTGTCTCCTACGATAAACAAGAAATGATCAGTTAAAAGATTAGACTGCACGGGACGAGAATCTTGCGCGAAGCACGCGCGTCTCAATCCTTTCTATCCTTCAGAAATGAAATACTCCTGTTCCTGTAAGCATGGGCTGTTTTACTGCCCACAAGAAGATTCAAAGGATCAAAGTAAACATAGCGGACATTTCAATCTGAGCTTCTAACGACAATACAAAGAAATAACGTGATTTCTGATAAGAGGTTGGGTACCAGAGTTTATCCCATCTTGTGGTAGCTCTCTCTTAGTTCGGACAGAGGCTCGATGGAGCATTCATTGACATTTGCACATCAGTCTCCCATACTCCACTCTTGATGCCCTCAAATTCTTGTTAGACGATTGTCATACTCAGGAGCAATTAAAAACAAAAGAAATGCTAAAATTTTGGGTGGCAAACATTATAGGAGGAGACGTGCAAATGGAATTACGCGGATCACGTGATTGCGGTCGCGAAAGCAAGCCAACTGAATATCCTTCATGCCAAGCACCTGAGCGGATATTCCCGAAACAAAAAGCCCCTTTAAGCCGCGCGGCGGGAGAGAAGAAAGCGTAGAACTTCTAAAAGCAACCTTTAGCTGCAAATTTGGCGAGCTTCAACTCACATCGCAGGAGCAAGACCGTGATTGTTTTCTTCCAAGACAAAGATATGAAAAGTCTCATTTGGTGCCAGGAAAATGAAAAGTCCCTGTTCGTGTTGTCAGTTGAAGTAAATCAAATTCAGTGCTAAATATAAAATCCCTTATTAAAAAATATTTAAGGACGGAAAACAGCCAGCGTCTTCTCACCAATAAAGAAATATTCCCAAAAGGTTGAGAGTCGCTATCAGTGATCCCATGATTGCCTTCTCTTTAGATCCAGCGTCTGTAATGTGCACGGCCTTGCGAATGACAGTTACAGGCTTGTGTCGAGGGATGGAAATTTCTTTTACAGAGTGTTGCTTTACGACTTGAAATGTGATGATTGGCTCATTCTTGGACGATGAGTCCATTCCTGAAACTTCTAAAACAATCCAACAATCACTAATCTTATTTGAAATTCTCTCTGCCTGGGGTACGCATTTGTACTGTACGCTCTCTAATTGTAAAGTACATTGTATTTTAGCACATTATACATTATTAAGTGCATTTCAATTGTAAAGTTTCTATGTGATAATTCGGCACAAAACTACTCCCTTAACATCGCTGAATCCTCTCAGAATGTAGAACGTGAATGTCGCATACATATCAACCTAGTATGGTCTTGTTGGGTTAAACATGCAAAGCCAGTCTCAGTGCTCATTTTACTGCTCTTATGCAATGCATTTTGAACTTCGTCCCCAAGGATTTTAAATTTAAAAAATGTGAGCGCCTTTTCCCTTTTTCAAAACAAAAAGATCCTGGGATATGCGAGGTACATACATCTTTAAGGCCTGGGTTAAAGGTGTGTTCAAAGCATATGAATGATATAGCAATATTTCTCGCTAGGAGACCCAGAATAAAATGAATTTTCCCCAAAAGTAGGTTTTCTTGCGCCTTCACGTTTAATTATTATCACGTGACATGTCACGTGACCAAAAATTGAAAATGAAGGAAATTTGCGAATTGGTGGCGAATTTACTTTGTTTAAATGGGTAAGCAAATTGGCATTTCTGAAAGAGGATAAACGTACCTAACTTTCTACGTTTGAAACAAAATGTACATGAAATTTAAAATTAAATTTTAAATAATTCAAGAATAAATTTGAGCAGTTAAAATGATGTTTTCCCTCATAATTTTTTATTGAAGTGCAAAAGATTGTCATTCCAAGTGTGAAGTGTTAGAAGTATTTAATATGAATTAGAAAAATGCTATCGCTCGATTTTTTTTTAAACCGGCCACCAATTGGTCAATAATTTACGATTTTTAGCACACAATATTTATACTTAAAAATGTTAAGGAGGAGGAGTTCTTTATTTGTGGCAAATTTTGATTTAGCATCATCATCTATGCCGAAGTTATAGCCAATAAATCATTTTCCTCAAGTAGACCTTTAGTCACAGGCCTTAAACTACTTGCTTGAGATCTTATACTGCCTATGTCTTCAGGAATTATTTTATATGCAATGCATGTACGTTTATCACAACATCAGCTACAATTTCACAGTTTTTGAGAATTAAAAAGGTAAGGTAAAGACGCACACGAGCCAAAGCCCCAAAAGGCCGGAACTTATCCCGGTTTCCCTAGCATGAAGCATGCCTAGAAGTATTGCTACTCCCTCCTGGACGGCATGCTACTCCATCGCAGGTTTACCCTCAAGCAGTATGTCGCCGGTACCCATCTATACACCTGGGTGAAGTAAACAACAAACTGGAGTAAAGTTCTTTGTCTAAGGAAACATCGAGATGGGCAAGGTTTGAAACCCGGCCCTCTAGATCCAGAGTTCGAGGTGTTAACTGTTCTGCCACACATGCCTCCATAAAAAGGTAAATAATAAGCTTAATTGGCAATATCGCGTTCGTCACGATAATCAGGGTCTATCCGATTCATTTTATATGAAATACGCTATAATCATTCTTACCAGAGCAACTTTTGCCTGAAAAACCGGGCTGACAAGTACAATTAAAACTGCCAGGTGTGTTTTGACAGATGCTGTTATCTGGGCACGGTTTCATCTGACATTCATCAATATCTGAGAAATGAACAATGTTCAGTGAATGAAGTCTTTAGAAACTGAGTAGGCCACAGTATTGTCGACATGGAACCCTCGACCGGCCACTCCACAGTGATATCGAAAATTTATTGAACCTTGGACAGATGAAAGGGAAGCAAGAGCCCGGGCCGGGAGCAAGAGATGTCGAAGCCATGATAGTTTACGTGGCTTGATGACGTCATCTGATATAGAAATCACGTTATCATATCATATGAGCAATCATGAATCCGCAATCTTGGCTTCCCTCGGGTGCGGAAAGTGCCAGAACCTGGGCAAAAGAGATACTAAATAACGCAAATATGCAATATTGCCCAAACAAAAGTGAACTCTTTCGAGGTTAGGCAATTTTAAAAAATAACGATCTTGCGTTATATAACGTCCTACCCGTTATCGGGAAACCACAGCAAACTATTGCATTGGCGCAGGATTAGAACATCAATCCAATCTTTCGCTTAAAGCTTGGCAAGTAAACCGGACTGTTGCGTCGCCGAATTTCCTGACTGAAGGCGATGAAGGAAGTACTGGTGACTTCCGGTTATGTACAAGGAATACTTACCGACATCACATTGTTTGCCCCCATAGCCCTTCCGACAATGACACGAGTAACTTCCAAGTGTGTTAACACAAACAGCCCACCATCTACACGGAGAGAACGTTGCACCACACTCGTCAACGTCTGCAACAAGAACATCGGTTTTGTTTTCGCTTGTCTTTTTTGCTTTCCCATTTAAAACCATGTGATGGTACCCCAGAGAACTGTTTCTTTCAAATATTGTCTTATGTACGTGTGTTTACCGGCAAATGGTATGCATGATTTATGAAAAGACAAGAGGCAATTCCCCTGGAGAACATCACGTGGTCTAAATTGGGAAAACAAAAGCTAAAAAGGTCTATACTCGAGTAATGACGTGTTGCTGTCAACACCGTCAATAAATACAGAGGTGCAATGCAATGAATGTGGTGGTAGATTGGAAATGATTGGTTGTTGAGAGCAAGCGGCGGCAAAAGAATGTTGAAAACAAATACGCACACCCCAACAACGTAACCTGAAATAGGGCGAGCTTCAAGCCATTAACCATATGACTGTTGCCAAAGTAAGGTTACCTGCAAATACAAAGTCCGCTGTATGCGACATTTTCTAGTTTGCGTTTTCTTTTTGTTTTGTTTCCTTTTAGTTTGTTTTCAGTTTAACATACCCAAGCAAACGAGTTATTCCTATTTCTTACGTATAAAGAATCAATTAATGATTTCTTGGTATTTTTCTTTCTCTTTATATCAGGCAGTCGTTCTTGAACAATTTAAAAGGAAACAAAGATTCGCACATTTTTTTTTCATCGGTGCATGCGCAAATACCAGTCTCTACCTTACCAACACATCCGCGCCCGCGAACTTTTTTCCAACCCTTTCTACAAAGGCATTTGTATTCTCCTGGCCAGACCATTCCCGACAGCACCCGCGGAACGCAGTATTCACTTGGCAAACACTCCGTTCTGAAAAACTTGCAAGCATCGTGAGCCCCTAAATTTCAAATGAAAATAGTATATGGCATATTAGAATGGAAACTCTTCGCTCGGTTTCTAAGGACAGCATTTACATTGACTGGTTTTGTTCATTTTTTTTTTTTTAGTTTCCCTTTACATCGATGATTTCAGATAGTAACTTCTGGTAAAACAGAAAAAGCAATAAAAGCGTCCACTCTAGGCAAAAGTAGGGTTAAGCCGCAATTCCAGTTGGCTGAAACAAATTCAAACACAAGAGACCAGCTGTGAACATCTGCACCTTCTTAATTTGTTTCCTACAGGTTTTCTCATTTTATGGCACTTTTTTCGCGCAGGGTAAACACTATTGTTGCCGAGCAATTAAAAAGAAGTACTCTTAATAAAACTTCGTTTTAAAAGGAACACCTTTCTTTGTTGTACAAACACTTAGAGGGGGTCGGCGAAATTATATCTGTATGTTTATAAAGAAGGCCTCCTTTTGGGTGCAACTTTCGATAACTGCATACGATCATTTGAATCCCAACATTTCGTCCTTAGGTTCACCTTTTTTTTCTCAAATGGTTTCAATGTTTTCTTCGATCATAATTTACACCACTATTCCAATCTACGTTTACAATGTTTTGGGAAACCTAATGGTCATAGTCATTATCCAAAAAAACAAGAGGCTACGGGAATGTCCGAACACCTTTCTTTTACAAGCTCTTTCAAGCGCCGATCTGTGCTTTTCAGTCGAGGTTTTATCAGCGTCGTCCTCCTTTCAAAAGACGCCTCCAATGCGACTACCGATTTTACTTTCGACGCATTGAGCTCAATTTATATTCTAGCAACCTTGTCAATGGAAAGGTACTATGCGATTCTCAAACCATTTGTGCACATGAGAAAAGTGACGAAAACTTTCATGCGTAAATTTGTGTGCGCAATATTTGTTGTAGCTGCTGTTTTAAGTGCACCGGGCTATTACATTACCTTTGAGAGAAGTTCAAGTGTTGCCAAAGAAAGAGCAAACAGGATAACACGAGCCTCACGTTCAACCGCTTGGCTCGAAACTTTTAACACGACGTATTCAATTGTGCTTTTCATATTTGGCTTCATTTTGCCAACTGCGTCTATGGTTTTCTCTTATTCACGAGTTATTTACTATGCTTGGTCTAAAGCGGAACCGAACGTAAATGTTGCGCTTTTAAAAGCCCGGAAAAAGTTGACAAGCTTATTTATTCTTGTAACTGTTGTATTCTTCGTTACTTGGTCTCCTACTTTTGTGCGGATGATTGTGACAGGATATGCACACGACCAAAAAACCTTGAAATTCGAGTTGCTGTCGATGTTAATCGCGCTCGTTGGCTCAGCGGCGAATCCTTTGATCTATACCACGCGCTGCCCGAGGTTTCGCCAAGAATTTGTCAAGCTATTTACTTGCAGTCGACGTAAGCGGAAATTACCACCTCAGCTGCACTGAGTAACTGTAGATGGGGCGAACAGGAGTTTTCTGAAATTAGTATAACAACACTGAGCCGGCCGTAACTATATCGTGTTGTTTGATAGCCTTTACACAAATAGAAAAGGGAGAATCAGTCCTTTCATTTCAAACGTAATATCGGAGAGCCTCAGTATCAGTGAGTATCAGGCGTTTATGGATAGGCCTTTCCATATTCTGCGCATGCTCCGAAAAAGCTAAAAAGTTGCTAAGAAATATGCCAAAAAGTTGCTCAAAAGTTGCTCAAAATTGAAAAAGTTGCTCAAAAATTTTGTTAAGTTGCTCGAATATTTTTTAGACAGCATGTCTATTTTTTTTAAATAACAATTGCTTTGTAATCAACATTAAGGTACAACTAAGTAACTAGTTACAACAAATTAGGCAACCTTTAGTTGAATCTAAGTGGCTAGTTACGAAAAGGTAGACAGTAAGTGTAACAAAGCTCCCCTGCTAACTGCAGTTTCAATGGGGTTTTCGATTTCTTCCTCGTCGGAAGACAACGTGGCGTCCGCCATTTTGTTTACACTCAGTCCACAGGCTACCCCAACCTCGTTCCCTGGGCTTTTTCCTTCTCGTGGGGGGCGCCCCCCACGAGAATTGGTGTGGGGAGGAGAAGAGAGAAACGACTACGGGAGATAAATTACGTTGAATATTTTAAATTGTCTTATATATCAAGCGGCCGTTTTTAATGCATACTACGCATTTGACAGTCGTCGTATTTTACTTCCTCTGTGAAAGGCATGTATTTAAATCGGTCCAAACCTTTTTTTTAAAAAAAAGTTCCTTAACGGATTGAGGCTCTAGTTGACTGGCTAAAACTGAATCACTGTGTGTAAGGGTGGAAGGCTTCCATAAAAGCGTCACTCAGTGTTAGGCGTTTCTCTCCCTTCGCTATTTCCCCTTTTCGCTTCTCTCTTTCCCTTTGCCCCCTTGAAACGACTGATACTCAGGCTATTCTTGACTAACCCCTAAGGAGGGCCAAATTAAAAGCAAAAATATAAACATATTCTGATTATCATTTTGTAAAATATAGGTTAAACGGAAATACTGCAACGTTGTGGAGGGTTTCAGCTTGTCCGTATCCACGACGACCCAGATACTTCGATCCAGTAATATTTTGCTTTTTTTGTACATACATGTATAATGTGTAATTACCTTCGAGATATACCTGACCAGCATAAAAGGTTTGCTCTACTTGATTCACACCGAAAGATGCAAAAAATGTTTTAGCTCTAAATTTCAGTATAGTGCCATGGCCATTTTGAGTGTATCTTCTGACCAGTCCTTGCCAAAGTTCGCCCTTGTTTGCTCTTGAAAATTGCGCAAGGATGATAGAGTTTAAACCGAATCCCCAGCCAGAGTTTATATTGGGCCTCTGTTCGCAATAAACGTGGGTCTTTATGAGTGGAAAAGGAATCATGTAAAAGTTGTGAATGTCTTTGTTTTCGTCGGGTGAGAAACACAGTCCATGGGGAGTCCAACCACACATCCAGCCGCGAGACCACGACAAGTTTGCTGTTTTGCCCAATGGATTTGCATCGTGTAGAACTATTGCTCTTCTGTTTCCTTTCCCTAGATAAAAAAGAGAAATGCAATCGAAGCTTTCCACAAGAACCACCTTGGGAACAGAAGAAAGTGGCCGTTGTAGAAACGTAGCCGTTTGTAGAGGTTCGATTGTAGAAATACTGTGAGAGACCCTCTTAAGCGGAGCTCCTTGCGCCTTGTAAATCACGAGCCGAAGGCGAGTGATTTACAAGCTTTAACTTAAAGTAAAACGGAAAATGTTTCATTTTTCTATGAGTTTACAGGCACAATAAACCAAAGCTTTTTAACCAATCACAACGCGCGTACTATCTTAGTTATTTTATAAATTCACTTGGATAACCGGGAAAGAGCTCAGTAGAGCAAAAAGTAAATAACAATGGGGACGAATTTCGTTGGTCGAAAGTTATATAACGGCGGTGAGAAAATGAGAAATGCTTGCGGCTTCTAAGGTGAAAAAGAGCGGCGGTGAAAAAACAGAGTAAACAGGAACACAAACATTTCTACCATAAAAACCTGTAAATAGCAAGTTAAAAGTAGTTTTACGTCTTAGTCGTGTAAAACAACGGCAAGGAAATGTACAAAGAGGTGTGCTGCACGTTTGCTAATTAGAAAAAAAGTTTGCTGCACGTGCAAACTTTTACTTTTTTTTTGCTAATTAGATCTATTGTTGTTGTTTTTCCCGTTCTCCTTATTTTCACCTTGTCTTAAGTATCACTCGATTTTATATTTTCTTTGAGGAATTTAGAAATATTAAAGAGAGCTTCGCTTTTAGCCGCGGCTAAATCTATATTTATTACATATACTCTCAGTTACACAGTTGATTCGGAAAACATGTGTGTTCTCTAGAAATAAACAGGCCGACCTGAACTCATGCCCCTCTGATTAATTGTAACAGAAACTCTCCGACCTAACGACCGGTGATGTCACGTGAGAAACATCTTCTATGTTGCGGTTAGGATTGGATTGATCATTACGGTGGTCTATATGCTCAATTATATAACACTATGCTGTAACAATAATGCTACAATAATCGATTAGTTAAGTTTGGCCTTAAAAATTGTCCATTAGAGGATTCGCCTGGAATCCAAGACATTCCTCTCATCGCATTCTTCTCATCGCCCTCCATCGCCTGAGAGGTTTCGTGCCGGAGGGGGTCGAATACATTTGGGCAACCTTCAATTCAATAGAGAGAAGAAGTCGTTAAGTCACGTCGCCATGGTAGCAAAATTTCTAGATGACAACAACCAAAAAACGTCGCTTAAAATTGTTTCAGACTTCATCGATCTCGTTCAGTTTCAATTATTTTGCCAAATGTTGGCTAAATTTACTGGCGTTAAGTCCGAAAGGACCGTGTTTAAGTTTAGAAATGTCAAAAAAGCGTGATGCACGTGTAAAGTTGTTGTTTTGCTATTCTAAACTTATCGCTTTTTTGTCGTTCTCGTTGCTGTCGCCGTCGTCGTTGCTTGAGCTCCCCATTGCTGTGATCCAAAAATTTTGCTACCATGGTAACATGACGTCACACTTCTCTCTATTCAAATTGATGATCTGGAAAGCGCCCAGGCCTCACACGGTCATTTTGCTGCTCTCTGAGGTTTATTAAGCTTCAGTGAGACTTAAAAAGTAGAAAAGAGGTGTAGTCTTTGGTGATTTTTAGCAGGTTGTTGCGTCGATGACACAGGGAGTGCACTTTAAATATCGCATAAAAGATGATAAAAACGATAGTAGCTTTGCGGTTTCACAACTTTGATATACAACCTAGCTTTAAAAAGGGTTACAAGGTAAAGATATTAAGAGTCTGATCCCCATGAGAGCTACAACCGCAATTAAATAACACCATCAGAGCTTTTCAGAAGATGTAAACTAGACACAATAAATAGTAAGAAAGTAACATAAACATTAAGAAATGAATTACCTGCTACACAAAATAATTGTAAAAGAACTTTGGAATAGTCGTGAGTAATAACTCCACCTTTTTAACAAACATGCTGCACGTTTGTTAGTAGAGGAGACTGGTTATGTAAGCCGGCAAACATCAAAGTTGAAAACAACGGTGCTGTAGTTTATGTTGGAAGCTCCCTGACCGTGCACAATCCCTTGTGTTTTGTTCACACATTGTGACGGAATAATTTAATGCGATGTTTATATTGGTCAGTAAGTTCAAAGTGATAGGAATGGTTACATTCGCCTATTTCTTACTCTATTGCTAGTCTTACATCACACTCTCATTAATTCCAAACGCTCTGCTCTTTTTATGAGAGACGGGAAAAGCTACAAGGTTCTATACTACTACTTTAAGTAGAAATTTCATAAGATCGTACTTACACTCCACATCTCCTGGCTTTTCGTCCGGGGGAGAATAATAGACAGAAGCACTAAAGGTGGCGAATAATAAAGGAAAAAATATTGACGATAATACTTGGAGAGGCATTGAAGTTACTAATGACCTAAATTGATTGCCAACGTAAAGCTTTTGAGCGCGCGCATTAGAATTGATTTTTATTGATTGTCTACGCACTGACTGTTCCAATGGATCGGCCTCTGATGACGTCAGAGAGGAAAATACCCAAACCAATCAGAAGACAATTAGAATTCAAACTAAAATCTAACCGAAGAAGTGACGGGTCAAGGTACAGTTTTTTTTTGGTTTTTCTTTCTCTAGTTCGTTTTTTGTCGTTACTGCTGCTTTATGCTGGAGGACCTCATAAAATTGTTTCTGTCAATAATTCCCCTAGTTTGCTTCACAGCCGTTCTTTATTTTAACGGCTAAGGAGCAGACTATAACTGCCCACCCTCTATCCTTCTTTCCAAGATTGCCTCTTGTCTAGGCATTCTTGTTTGCACTGGACAGGTTCATATATGCTTCCCGACTACAACAAATGCGTCTTTCTCTACGCCTCGCATTTGGCGTTCGCAAAACCTGAAAGGAAGAATTCAAGACTTTGGACAGGGGAACGTCAATGCGAAACTTAAGGTCAAGATGGCTGGATATTGGTCAAGTTATTTTACATGTTTTTATGGATCGAGACGAACTCAGGACGTCAATAAAAACGCAGAAAAGAAAGAAAGAAAGAGGCCAATATTCAGCAATCAAGACCGAAAACTTGGCCAAAAAGAGACTAAGGGAAAAAGACGGGAAAAAGGCAGGACTAAAACGCGCTTATCTTGCACGCCCAGGTAGCCAATCCGAACAAAGGAAGCGTTTCATCTTTCTCGCCTCCGGATTCAGCCATATACTGTAGTAAAGGAACAATAAACGCATCATTTGCACAAAATCAATTTAATGTTTATTACAATTGAAACTTTCATGGACAGTCTTCCATTTGCTTAGAAACGGTGCACAAGGTTCTAAGCTCCAATTAAATAATTATTTCTATTGCTAAGATTACAGTAATTCTATCCACTTCAAACAATAAAAAGCACTGTCATTGGTACGATGGTACAAATCTTACTTACAAAATTCGCTTAAAACAATAGTCTACAAAATCAACATGGGGAATGCCAAGGAAAAAAAGAAAAAAAAATGACTTCAATTACTATAAAAATAAAATCTCTAGCTAAAACTCCGTGCCTGCTGATGCATCCTTTAGAGGCTAAGGTGGCCTCTTAAAACTTGGGCTTCATGGTCACAAAGTCAAAATCATAACAGTCCGGCTGAGAAATCAAAAAGTCAAACAAACAAAAGCTTGCATCATAAGTTTTACAGAATGATCAGAGAATAAGTTACGTATAAATTGCATGTAATATGAAGAAGTTTTGATACAAATAAATTTGCCACTGCTGCATTGCCCATCATACACCTTTTTTGCACCCTAAAATTCGGGATATGGATGGTTTTCAGTTTATCTTAGGACCACTGTATTACCCTGGAGAAACTGGAAAAGATGGTGTTCTCAGAATCCGGGGTTCAACAAGGTGAATTATGAAAGTGGCGAACAGACAAATCCGGACTTTATGCATGCAAAAATAAGTATCAGGCTTCAGACTCTTAGGGTAGGCGCAACACCTTCCGACAAGGATAAAATTTAAAACGACGCCAATAATGCTTTTATCACATTCTTTCAACTTATTCTGTAAGGAAAATGTATGAAGATAAGTCCGAAGAACTTGTAGGTGGATATTGAGGTTTTTTTGAGAAAAAAGTCAACCACGAAGGCTTGTAATGTAAAAATCTAGAAATCTTGGGGCTTAGAACAATTTTGGCAGTTTTTTCACAGACATACCCGAAAATACAATTTCAGCGGGATTTTCTTGAATTTCGCTAATTCTTGGCACTTTATAGGGAATGAATGTGTTAACATGAAGTCGACTTTGCTTACCAAACCGACATGCTTGTTTTTAAAGGTGTAATTACTCCAACAAAACACTGGTAAACCCTGAAAAGAACGATTACCGTTGATACAGATTAATTCAAGTCACTTATATTTTATTTTATAACTAGCACAAACGAAAAATCGACATTATTTGCTTGTTTGTTTTGTTGCCCTAACGTATACCATGAGACGATAATCAAAGGAGTTTTCTCTTTAATGCTCGCATTAGTAGCTTAGTAGTAAGCGAATAATCCTGTTTTAAAGGCAGGAAACTCACTAAGGGGTTGGGGTGGGGGGGATGCATTGTCGATGATGTCTAGCCTTTTCACTTGATCTCACGAATAAATGCGGAGAAACCTGAGTGGGGATACATTTGTTCCGTTGACGTCACGGCTTTTTGTCTTCATCTCATAAAATGAGAAAGAAGAGGAGGCAAAACAATAAAAACTTAGTGGTGAATCAGTGAATCGGAACCAGGCCCCGGTTGTTCAAACGTTGGATAGCGCTACCCACCGGATAAATCAGTATTCAACGGATATGCATTGAGAAAACCAATCACGTCATCCAGCGGATAGCGATATCCAACGTTTGAACAACCTGGGCCAGGACAATAAGTTACGTGCAATGGATAGTAAAAGCAGCAAGAAAAAGAACTTGCATAATTACGTCACGACACAGTAATTTTAAGTCACAGGCGGAAAGCGCTTTTCTTCGACAACATAAATCAACCAATGAAAACTACTTTTAGTTTACAGTCAACCATCCAAAAAACAAAAAAGGCACACACGACCCTATCTTAATGAGATTCCATCGCATTTTATTAATGAGATAAAGGCAAAAGGCTATTAAGTCATCGGCTTTAATGTATTCCTGATCTCCTTACTGGCGGATCCTGGGGAGGGGCCCGCCCCCTCCCCCCTTATTTTAAGACCAAACGGAGGCCCGAAGGGCCGAAAAAAAATTTTTGGGAGACCGGGCCCCCCTCATCTGAAGGTCTGGATTCGCCACTGCTCCTTAATGAGATCCCTGTCAGCCAAAAGGCTCATTTGGTCCCACCTATACTACTTCTATTCACTCTATCCCCTTCAAGAGAAAGGATTAAATATCCTGAGTATCGTCACATGATTTTGGAACAACAAAACATGCAAGGGAATGAGGTCTATCAGGAGTGCGATCAACAGGGAAAGCGAGTCACTGGATGGCCATTTACGTGAGATATTGAGGCACACGAAAGATACCAGCTTCCGGCCGAGAGCAAGCCCAGACGGGGAAGTTAGCGTCGAAGGCAAAACTGAAATTCAATAGGAGACGCACCCGGTAGAAGAGCAAATAGTTAACCGCGGCCGGACTAGCTCAGTCGGTAGAGCGCTTTGAATGCAGAGCGGGATCCCGAGGCTGGACCAATACTGGTACTGACCTTACCCTTTTACCCTACAAACAGCTAGACCTTCGTGTGGCTTGAATGACCCTTAAAATGGCGTCTGGTCTCCAGAAGGAGATGTAAAAACAGTGTTCTCAAGTCTGTTTTTTTTAGATTTTAAAGCCGAGATAATCAAATTAATACTATCTCTGCACTGAAATCACTCCTCTCTCAGGAGTTTGTCAAAAGGGACCCTTTGAACTTAATGTACCTGATAAGTTGGGCCACTTATGGCTTCAGACATTAATGATTCTGCCATTGAAAAATCCGTCACCTAAAAAATAATGAATAATTAAATAAATGAATCAAAATGACAAGAAAACCACAAGGACAGAGCAGCGCAGTGACACATAAGTACATAAGTAAGCGGTGGGGATGCACAGTGCATTCTCTCTAATAATAATAATAATAATAATAATAATAATAATAATAATAATAATAATAATAATACCTTTATTTATTACCTTTGGCGATAAGAATTACGGTAATATTACAATAAAAATTCAAAACACTAGATATTATATATACATATCAAATTAAGTTAAGTTTAGCACCTCTAGGAATAAACGATTGTTTGTGCCTACCAGTGCGTGATACAGGTATTCTGAGGTGCGCAGGGTTAGTCTTACAAGATCTTAGATTATGGCCATGATCCACTGGCTTGTCTAAAAAACGTTTGCAAGGATGTGCTTCTGATTCTAGGATACGTTTAAATTCTTTCCTGGTCAAATTCTGACGCCTAGTTACAAGTGACTCGACAGTATCCCTAGGGAGACCAATGACATTTAGACATCTATTCTGCACTCTCTGTAGATCTTCTTCAAGGTAAATGGGCAGCCCTCCCCAGACAGGCGAGGCATATTCTAAAACAGGTCTAATCTTAGTGATGTAAGTTGTACACTACAGCAGTATGCAGTACTGTTTCTCCAACGTTCAGTGACCTATAGATTAATTTGTGTCCTGACTCTGCCGAATTTTCTCACTGAATAGCCTGAGAAAGCGGCCGACATTTGGCGACACCACCAGTGTTTTTTTTTTCCCGCAAAATTACGTCTGAGGGATAAGCGTAGAAATTCTACGCTGATGACGTGTCAGTACCCAGATATCGGTAGCGCTTTTGATTGCTTGAAGCGAAATTCCCACGCGGCACGACCAATCAGAAGCCCCACCTAGATCTGGGTAGTGACACGTCATCAATAATGCATTTCACCTAATTATAATATTTATTGACGAGTTGAAATGGGGTGCCATGAATAGATGCTGTTTGTAAAACCCATGTACTACAATTCTAAAGTAAAGGTCTTACTTTAGTATCATAACAACCATTTGGGCTTCTGTCGGATGCTTTGAGGAGGTCCCCTCTGGAACAAATGGAGTTGTAAGGGTTATTGTCTGAGTAGGTGTCATTGGGATAATCTGCAACGTAAAACGATACCAGTTAAGTTACGATAAAACAGGCAACAAAAACGTACAAGTTCTTTAGAAACATTGCTGCAAAACGAGATGAAAAGTGATGTTAGGGTTTACTACGCACGTTTAACTCAGTCTTTAACCGCGACAGGATTAGCTCAGTCGGTAGAGCGCTCGACTGCAGAACGGAAGGTCGCGGGTTCGATTACCGGGGTCGGACCAATACTCAGAGTCTTAAAATAACTGAAAAATCAAAGTACTCCCTTTGCACTGCATGCGGCTAGACCTTCGCGTGGCTCGGATGACCACGTAAAATGGCGGTCCCGTCTCCAGTTGAAGACGTAAAAAAAGTGTCCCCAATTTAGTAGTACTTTCACGCTAAATACCTTGACACTCAAATAACGTGCATTTTGTTGGCAACAAATCAGGTTGCCGCAAGTTGTGTGAATCGTGTTTTCTAATTGGATAAAACTACGGGGGAGTCCCCATACACTGAAGATATGAAAACAGAGGGTCTGTGAACAGGCTATCCTAACGACTAGTCCAAAAGTTCAGGAGTCGAGGACTTCAAAGGCTTAGCGAGATTCAGGCAGATCCTCCCTTTCTCCTCATCACCAAAGTGCACAAAAGGAGGCTGTGCTCGCGGGTGTAGAAAGATAAACAAAAATGTGACAAACTGAGGCCCCGTCCACATGTATCCAGATATTTTTGAATCCGCAGCTTTTTCTTTTCGGAAACGGCTTCCGTCCACACGTATCCCGTAAAATCGGCATACGAATCCGCAACTTTTTGAATCCGCTCTCTAGAGTGGAAATTTTTGAATACGCTATGAATTCGGAATCGTGTGGACGCTAAATCCGGATAAAAAGTGAATTCGCGGTTTTTCAATCGTCATCGCGATGGCCATCGCGATTATTCCATCATGCTTACCTTGTCGAAAGTACTCTCCTGGAGCTGAATTCCTAAGAGCCTTATCCAAGTTAAGAAAGAGATAGAAAATTTCGTCGTTGATTGTTTACGTCCTTTATAAAACATGAAATTAGGCATTTTAACGTCGTACTCGTGCAAAAATGGCAAAGAAATGTACAAAAAAGTGTGTTGCACGTGCAAAGTTGTTGTTTGCTTATTAAACCTATGGCTTTTATGAAGTTCTCGTTGCCGTCGCCGTCGTCTGATCTTAAGGTACCTATTTTTTTTTACCCGGTGACGTAACAAGATCGAGCCCAATTCTTTGCGTGAATGAATGTATTCACGATGGCAACCTCGTTCCCAGGTTCTCTCAAGGGCATGCTCTGATGCCAATATTCCCAAAAGAGTCCTGGGTACAAGAGTGAATCCGGATATGTGTCGTATACGTGTGGACGTGCAAATTTGATTTGAACACGGATACGTATGGACGTGAAATTTTTGAATCCGGAAAGAAATAGTTGCGGATTCAAAAATATCCGGATACGTGTGGATACGTGTGTGGATACGTGTGTGGATACGTGTGCGAGTCATACCGTTATAACGCAGAATATGTTTCATTGATTCTATATCCACAACCTGCAAAAACAAGCAAACAAAACGAAAAAACAATTTCACGTCATCCTAGTGTATGTTTCAATTACCATTAGTAAATTTCAGCAGTCACCTTCCTCTGACTTAACAACCTTACATGTAGAACCGACCGAGCAACTAGACCTTTTCTAAACTTAATTTAGCGCGATTTTTGTTTCTGACATTCGCCAGGTTGCTAAGGGGGGTTACTTGAGTAACATTTGAATTTTCATCTGTACAGTCGGGGGTTTACTGTATACGGAGCTTCATGCATATTGTCACTAGTAATACTTTGGCATTACCTTTCCTTGATCTCGGCGAAATATCTCGGCTCTCGGAGCCAACTGATATGAATACATCAATCCATGCTTTTTTACAAACTCTGGAAAACCACTGAGATTGTATATCTGACCAAAAAACAACAATGGACAATCAAACAAAATATGTTGCTTCACTCAATTGTAGGAAGTCTCGAAGCAGATATAAGCACATGCAGAGAAAAACAGAAACTCTTAGGGTCGTTTATTTACGAAGTTTAACTTAGGCCGCGATTAATGATTTTGGACCTTCAGATTTAGTTCTATGTGGGTTATTTTAACAGCGATTTCTCCAAACTAGGGCTCCGTGAATGTTAGCATTTTCTTGGTAGCTTATTATTTTTGCTCTTAATGGTGTCTTTCTATTTTTTAGTGCGTTATAATTGGGCTTTTTCCGGAGGTATAATGTGAAGTGCAGCCTCTAGCCTACGTCACAGAAGTAATCCGCTAACCCCGGCTAGTAACGTCCGCGAGGCAGCGCCGAGACCCTTGTTGAGGGTCCCCAATAGGTTTTCCGGGATCCAGGATTTCTCTTATTCGGGATTTGAAAGCAAAATCGGGGAGAGATTCAGCATTGAAGGTACGCGCGGGAGGTGGGATACCAAAAATAACCCTCGGGATTACAGGATTGCGAGGAATTTCGGATCGGGATAGCGGGATTGAAGAACCCTATTGGGGACCCTCCTTGTTCTGGGCCCACTACGGACCCAACAAAGTACCGGAAGCCCGTTTCGAATTTCCTTTCAATCTGATTGGCCAATCGACAACGGCTTTTTTAACGGGCCAATCATGATGCGTATTCAAATCCTGGTACACAGGTGGGGGCCCAGAACAAAGATTTCGGCGCTGTTTCGCAGACGGTCTTAACCAAAGTTTCGTCCGTGGCGCAGGCTATGCAATCTCACGCACACGCATTTCACGTTTCACAGGAACGCAATGTTATTGCGCCGGATAAGCTACTGCTAATCTTCACATCGAACGCTGAAGAATGAGAACAGTAATGAACTACCTGTTCGTAGAATGGAACATTGTATGACGGCCAATATCCTGCTCTGAGGATCTCCGTTTGATCTCCACTCACAACCAAGCTTAAATAAAAGAATTAGATATTAAGAGCAATTACCACTTGACCCGTGACGATGTATATCTATGTCAATCATTTTGATGGCATTTTAACTACATTTTCAGGGTTCGTACTCTTTTGCGCTCTTTAAATTCCATGGCTTTTCATGACTTTTTCCATGACCTTTCCAAATTTTCCATGACCTTGGGTTTAACTGTGACTTTCAAAAATTTTCAAAACTTTCCTTAGTTTAGGGTGTTTTTTGACCTACCGGTAACTCATTTCAACAAGCAAAAGTGAAAACAGCTGGCGATCTTGCGCCCTGCTCTCGTTCTCGCGCTCCGCGCTCGCTTCGCTCGCGTGCTCGTCGATTTTCGAAAAGAACAACGTCTGTGTGCTAGCTACTCAACAGCA